TTCATCTTGCAACGGTGGGCACGACCGCTATAGACGCACACCCCATCTCCCGACCCATACTCTCTGAGCAGGCTCAGAGAGTGGCATGACTCTACCAAGGCCCGTGCCCTTGGCCATGGCGAGAGTGAACCCTGCGTCTACCGTCTTCGCTGGCGCTGTTGCAATTGGCGGGAGATGAGTTGGACGAGGGGCTGTGCAGCTTGACCGCGCGCGTTGCCGCTGCTGTGCAATCAGCACTGGCACGACCCACTGGTAGAGTGGGTGAAAATCACCCATTGACTTTGGCCGACATTAGTATTTACGGATACAGTGGGTGATTGTATACAATAGACCATACCATGAGTGATCCAAGGCAATCACCCACATCGCCTCAATCAACCACATATCGACCAGACCGTGGGTGAATGGTCGATATCCCCCATCATGTGGTTGGTAGCAACCCATTCTGGGGCTCATAGTGTAGGATGCATGCTCCTTGGCCGCAACGACTGCTGCTCAGCTTGGGTGCTAGGTCTCTACATCCGTTGTCTTGCATGCCAGCTACGCGCTCCGCCAAGCGCGCCGAGGACGCAGTTCACTCGCAGTCTCTGGTCCGCTTTAACAGTACGCTCGAAGAGGTCACTCAAACGTCATCGACGCGTTCGCGCACCACCAAACGGAAGGCGGGCGGGTCTCCCGTCAAGGGCACGCCGAAGAGGAGCCGCGCCGGAAACGAGGACGCGATCAGATGAACAAACGCTATGGTGCAATACATGTATTCCGCCCAAATTCATACCGCCAGTCTCGTTATCGACTCCCGCGGGTTAACCTTTTCCATCCCGAGGCGATTTTCTATTCACACTATGCTCAGCACGACACGAGACGATAATCATCGCAATCCGCGAAAGTATAGGAGAAAATGTGTGAAAGTTTGATGTCAACGAAAGACGCCAATATGAACTCGACGAATGGGTTGCATTTGTTGCAAACAGCGATCACAGGCGGGGTGTAAGGGACGCTGGACTGACCTTGAAGGCACGCGCCAAAGGATTTTTCTTCCTCTGAGTAGCAGTATCTGAGTACCAACCCGCAGGTGCCGACGGTTCAGTATTTGCTCGGAACAGTGGGCGACCGTTATATTGCTCCAGGAGGTCCTCCTCCGTAGTCATCGGCTGCACGTAGTTATGAACTATGATAAGCCAATGAAGGTCGAGGATTGACGTACGGGCAGCACGCTCGAGGGACCACCGGGACTTCTTGTTCCCTGTACGGGAGTCGAGTAACGGTACGGATGTCGAGTGGGACCATCCCATGAAGCGCGCATGTTCGGAGGTTTATGGTAACCTTTTGGTAGACGTGTCACCGCGGAGACTTTGATGTTACAGTTATATGGCGTGTGGGGTGATAACTAAAAATGCTTGGATGGGTAAAGAACGAGCTCGTAGCTTTCTAAGCTCAAACTGAGAGGCAATGTCAATCAAAGAGGAAACTATGTAAAGCACGCAAGAGATCATACGATGGTCCATGATGATCCCGTTATGAGTGCGCCCTAGTCTTCGCCGAGATCGACTGAATATTCCGGACCGAATTCAGAAAGCAGCAGGGTTATGAAGAAGCAGGCAAGTTGCTGTGGTTCGCAATGACTGCGATCAGGCAACCAAGATGCGAGAGAGACGACTATCGCTGGCAGCGATCCACGGTCAAGGGCATCAGAAGGAACGTGTCATCCATGAGCGCTGCTTGATAGATAGCGTCTGGAGCTCGAGGAGAGACTGGATATGCAGCGCAATAGGTAATCCGCGCTAGCTTCGGAAATTCATCTATGCACTGGTTGAGCGGTCGAGATGTGAGAGATGAGTGTGGTTTCCATGCTGACGACCATGATCCTACTTGGGATAGGCTGGAGGCGGACGGAGAGGCGATCCTCTTGGTATGATGACCGGCTACCGAACGAGCGCAGCCAAGGCGACAATGGGAGATGATAGTAAAAGTGTATATGTTTTCAGCGTGTGACCCGCGAAGCTGAGGTCTGACTCAACGCCAAGATGATCTTGCTATGAAAGTGCATGCAGTACACGCAGTAGTACGCTGATAGCGAAAGTATGTATACCATATAGACTTCTATTTTCACACTCGTGTTCGTCAATGAATTGTTGCGTGCAGAATGTGCTCGAGAGTCAACGACGAACACCGGCGCCTTTCTCAAATTACCCAACTGACAACCATGGGTAAGCATAGGCGACACATCCTCGGCGACAGGGAGCAATGACAACGTAATAAGTCTGTAAATGCACTGGCTTGACAGGGACAACGAAGAGAGCGAGTCGCTAAGGTGGCTATAATACATTCCATAGGTTCATCCGGCTGTTGTCAGCGACGCATCCAGGCAAATCCGGGATATCAATCGCTCTTCACTCGTTGATAGCCTTGTTGAGCAGGACCGCCCCACCCGAACCAACTTGTCCGCCTCGCCGCACTCGGAGGATGAGTTCCTTCCGGCCCGCTCTCAAGGCCCGAGCCAGTGTCGTATCCCTCCGCGTCACTAGGAACATCGATGTCCTCGAAATGCATCGGGTTGCTGGTCGTGCGTTCCCGCAGTGAGCCGGATGAACCAGAAGAATGGATCTGGACGGAGCCGGATGGCTGAGGAATGGGCATCGAGGGCGCAGCCTCGCCTACATCGTATGGAGCGGGCTCCTTAGATAGAGAAGCAAGCTCGGCCTCGAGCTGCCGACGTCTCTCCACGACGGACTGTGAGGAGGGCTGCCTGAAACTCGAGGCACTGGGTCTGGTGCTGAGATCCGGAGTATCCAGCGCCGGGTCTCTCCTAGGGGGGGCTGCCGCTGCGGCTTGCGCAGACTGCATGAATGCTGCGCCAGAAGCCACGATTGATGGTCCGTAGTTGCGCCAGAAACTGCCCAGCATCTGAGCAGGTCCGGAAACGGGGTCATTCATGGTAGGAGGAGCGCCGGCATTCGCAGCAGCATTGTTTGGCACAGGGGCAAAGCTTCCAGGGGGCGCCTGACCGATGGCTTGTGCAACATAGGCCCATGCTCGTCGCAGTTGATTCTGCAGCAAGACGTATCCGCGCGCCTTGAAGGACGCGATGGTGCGATCGATCTCAGATTCATGTTCATGGAAGAAAGGCTGTAGGAGCGTTGTATAGATGAACGTGGCGCCCTGTGTTTGAGGAAGAGCGAGGAAGAGGAGGAAAAGCGTCTTCAAAGTGTAGTAAAAGGGGATCCTTCGCAAAGATCAGATTGTTGGCTTGAGCGCGCAACTATGAAACACTTGCCATGATATGGCCCATTCTGCGATGTATTCAACGGCGATGATGCATCCTTGCGAATCAAGGTGTATGAGCGGTGTTCCGCATGGATGTGTGCGTTATGACACACCGAGAACGGACCAGTACATCAACCAGCGTTCTAGCTCAGCTTCAGAGGCTGGTCGTTGGGACAAGGTCTTGTAGGAAGCATAGCCTGGGTATAGAAAGGCAGTAATGGAACTATACAGACGATGCCCTTCAGCCCCGTCCCTATTCCAGACCACAAGGCGGTGACTCACCTGATGATCCTGAAGGTGAAGTGAAAGAGCATAGTGCCAACCAGTGATCAATCGATGAGAGAGCCGCTCGCGCCTTTATAGGTCTCGGCAAAGAACTGATTTTGACACGCAAGGACGGAAGCCACGGGCTTAGGGCTTTCGAATCCGAGACACGCGAACTGGGACCGCGCAGCAGTCACAGCCATGACGTGTTGCAAGGCAATACTTCATGAACTAGAGTAGTGACTACGTGTCGACAATGATCATCTACGACTGCGTAGCATCTGCAATGCCAACTCCTCCTCCTCTTCAAGCGATGTGGCTTGTTTTCGAGGCCCAAGGGTTTCACCATTGGTTGAGCTCTTAGGTCTTTTCGCAGGGGGGGTTGATGCGTCTTCCGACTCTGACGGCAGTTCAAATTCAGGCGACACATAACCGTCATCATCCAGAGAGTTGACAGTGGGTCCCAATGCGGTCTCGGTGTCGGACATCGCCATCTGCGTGATGGTCTGGTCAGCACCTTTGTGGCATGGTCACTGAAGGATGAATCATAACTAACACCGCGTTCCCTCTCCTTCCTCTTCCTCTTTTTCTCCCTTTTCTTCTCCTTCGCTTCTTCTCGATCCCGGATGTCTGCATCCTTCACTTCCTTTAGACGCTCCTCCGCGAATCGTCGGCCTGCTTCCTGAACGCCTGCCTCGCCACCCTGCTCCTTGACGAACACCTCCCCAGCAACGGGCTCATAAACCTGGTGCCCTTCTCCTTGCTCGTCGAAGATCAACTTCTGGGCTGGCTGCTTGAATTTCGCCATGAGTTTCTTGCTCTCGCCCATCTTCAGTTTACGCTTCGATAACTGCGACGACGCGGGTAGATCATCGTCTGAGAGGGCATGATCGGCACGTTTCAGGGTGATGAAATCTTCTTCCTCTTGGTCTGGTATATCATCATGGGACACAAGCTTGGTGTAATGGTCCGCGAGAACACTCTGGTTTTTGCGTCCGAACATCCTGTCGTACTTGGTGCGCACGGCCTTCGCCTGCGAGGGCTGCGTTCAACACAGTGTATGGACACCAGAAATTGAGTGGGAACGTGCCTTGTCTGATGTGGTAGAAGGTACGGCGCCCTCCGCCTTCTTATCCTCCTCACCCGGTGCGTGCTCCTCATCCGAATTCTCCTCATCTGATTCGCTGTTTCTGTCCTCGCTTGCCTCATGTGCCTTTCTGCTCTCTTGCACTTGCTGTATTCTTGGAGCATTCTTCTTCTGCTTCGCAATTTCTCTGCTCAGGAACTTGATCTTCGGTGCTCCGGGTAGACCAAGTGAGGCTGCAAATGCCTGAATCGGCAGCTCGCTGAGCTTGAACACGTCCTTGTTTTTCTGCAGATGGATGGAGCGAAGGTAGGAAACGAATGCCTGCATGACCGATCGTCAGGCATTCTGCACATACGCCTATGTGACAAGGCAACTCACCCTCTGACCGAGATATTTAATCTCCGGATCCTTGAACGCAAGGTTCTGCAACTGATTGTCGATCTTCTGCTGCTTGCTTCCCTTCACCTTTATTTTTGCCACCTGCAAGCCCTTGCTCTCCAACAGGCGCAGCATGCCTTCCTCCTCGCTCGGACAGAGTACCAACAATGCCTTCCCTTCGCTCTCGTACCTCGCGGTTCGACCCACGCGATGCACGTACGTATCAGCATCCTCCGGAGCGTCGACCTGCACCACCCAGTCAACCCCTGGAAAGTCGAGGCCCCTGCTTGCGATGTCCGTTGCGAAGAGCACCGAATGCTTCGAAGCGATGAACTTTTGGTAAATGTCGATGCGTGTCTGCTGTTTTTGCTTGCCATGTAGGTGCATGAGAGGCACGCCTGGATGCAATTTGCAGAAGGTTTCGAAGACAAAGCGGACCTGTTTGCATGAGGAGAGGAAAACGAGTGTTTTCGACGTCAGATGAGACTTGATGAAGGAGAACAACAGGTTGAGCTTCTGATCGAGCTCGCAGACGACATAGTGCTGTTCAAGGGTTTTCGGGATGAAATCCGTGGACGTTAATGATATCTTGGACGGGTCCTTGGTGTTGATTTCGGAGGCATGTTGAGTAGAAACGAACACAGGATTCTGCAAGGAGAGGCGAGCCAAATCCTGGACGGATTGAGTCTGCGTTGCGGAAAAGAGGAGTGTTTGTCGGCCCTTGGGTAAGTGGGATAGGAGTGCAGAAAGGGTCCGAGAAAATCCCATATCCAATATTCGGTCAGCCTCGTCGAGGACTAGTTCCCGACTTGATGAATGTTCTGATATCCCTCAGTCATTGTCATACGTACCTAGTATCTGTAAGTTGTCGCAGTCGAATCCAATCGTCTGGTCCATATGCTGCAGCAAACGACCGGGGGTAGCGACGAGAATGTTCATGCGTCCAAGTCTGTCTCGTTCATCTTTCAGATTCTTTCCTCCGATCACCAAGCCGGCGGAGAAGTTGTGATATCCTCCGATGGACCGTAGAACTTCAAAAATTTGGACTGCCTGCATGCGCCGGTGTCAGTGGATACGGAAGGCATGGAATATAGCGTGTGCATACCAGTTCACGTGTAGGAGAAATTATCAGAGCGCCCAAGCCATCTTGAGGTCCCCACTTTCTTCTGTACAGCAGCTCCAGAACCGGGACGAGGAACGCAAGTGTCTTTCCACTGCCTGTACGAGCAGCGCCTAACACGTCCTTGCCCTTGAGCGATAGTGGTAAACTTTTGGATTGAATATCGGTCATGTCAGTGAACCACGCCTTCTTCAGACCTGTATGAGAGTGATCAGAGTATGGTTATGCTTCAACTAGGGTGAGCATACCACGCTTGGTGATTTCAGATATGGGCAGTTCTGCAAACGCTTTCAGCCCATCGTGTGGCACCTAGACTCCTTAATCAACATGAGATTACAAGCAGGCTCGTTAGGTGTTTCTACGCACGAACTGAGCAACAGCGTCTTCGAGCGCCGCAATCTTTTGCTTTTCGGTCAATTTCTGTTGCTTCTTGTTATTGGGCAATGGCTTTTTCTTCCTCTTCGTACGGTGCTTGTCCGAATGGTTTGAAGGTCCAGCGACAGCCTCCATAACTCGATGTCTGGCGCGATGCCAAGGTACTGATGATTTTCAAAGAGGGGGCGGCCATGAGGTGGCTATGCGCTTGCCGATAAGTAGCGTGCTCCTTCCGCTGCAACCTTCTCATATACAGGCAATGCAGGGCTATACATGATGTCAGACATATTTGGCTAGGAGCATATGAATGTCGGACACCGCAGCGATACAGCCCAACAGGGGCTGTGGGGAACTCGAGACCATGCACCATTCAGCCTTGACTCTGCTAGGGATCTGCGTTTCCACCCGAACACGCTCACTTGGGACAGCTGCGAAGGCCTCGTCTACCTGTTCTATCTCGCAGCAAGTTGTCCCCATTCGGCTCAAACTCGGGATGACCCGCTGCCTGTCGGTGTGCACGATGCCGCGAAGCCATACACAAGGCTATGAAGCACTGGCCGCTCAGATCTCACAGTCTGCGTGTCAATGGCCGTTTGTGAAACGCGCTCGTAGGTATATATACACGTTGAATTGCTGCTCTGCCTTCTTCCACTACATCTCATCCTTCTCCACCGATGACTACCACACAAGTCAGCGACACATCCTCTCCCCAGGCACCTGCCAGCCAATACGACAAGCCACTGCCCGATGCTGCTGGACTCGGACAGGCTACGCCGGCCACAATCAAGGATCTGTCGCCTGCTCAGCCAAAATACGAGTAAGTTGATTGTCCATATGTCGAATCATGTTAGAGGATGGCGGTAACTGGTTCCAACAGTGAAAGCGACGCGAGCGACTCCGGTATCCATATTTCTCAACCGCGTAAAACCTCTCACTGAGGGTTAATCACATCAGGAGACGATCTCATTGAACACGCCCCAAGGTCTAAGCGTAACGGGAAAAAACGAGCAAAAAAGGTCATGCCCGTGGCTCCTGCAGTCAGACCCATATCCAAAGGCAAATCAGGGAAAGTCAAAGCAGAGGGCGTCAAACAGGAAGCTGGTGCCAACTCAAAACCGACTGGTATCAGCTCAACTTCTCAACGTCCGACTCCACGATAATTCCTCCACGGTTCACCTCTCCGGATTGTGGCCTTGCGGCGTAGAGCAAAGCTGTGTTCTCTTATTCTAGTCTATCGCCTTCATGCTCCCGATCAAATATTATGTGGAACCTAGAATACCACCACTCTCAGGTATATCGGTCCCCGTGTTGAAGGAGCTCCTTCTCATGTCACGTAGTTACTCAGCACGGTCTTTCTTATCACTCATAACAGGCCACTAAGATGTGAATGCCATTCTTTGTTGCAAGCTGCCCCTGGGATAGGCGGCTGTGGCCCTGCATGCACCGTTGAGCTCGTTGCGTCCGCTCTTTCATGACCACGTTCAGAAGTTGAGCTCGTTGCGTCCGAAATGATGCTACTACTTCGACTGCCTTTCAAACGTGTTCTCGGAAGTATGGATTCCACAGCGGCGACGCCGTTGAGACCCACGCAAAAAGCCACCGGCGGGATCGTCCTGATATAAGGATGCGCACTTGGATCATGTTGCCCAAAGCGATGTCTCTCCGACGGCCCGCTCAACGCAACATCAACCGAATTGCCCTGGCCAGAGTCGCGCCGGAGCTAGCGGAGCTTCCTGCTGACGAAGTCTTCCGGTCAATCAAGTGCAATGGCGAGGTGTAAGTTGACATCGGGTCTCAATCCTCAGTAAAGTGATCCTTTCTTTACTCCATAGGCTACGACAGACCCTGGAACAGACCACAGTCAAGATCCCAAGTGATACCGGTGCCTTGCCTCGCAATGTACAATTAAAGAGCGTCGTTCAACCTACGACTTCCCTCCCTACGCATGTCATCGCCGCAATAAGCGGACCGTCAGATCGTTCTTCCATCAAGTACTTTCCGATACACGCATTCGTCATGGCAGCATATTGCTCCTCTTTTCCTCCCTTACGTACCTTTGCCGCCACTGGGCCCAAGCAGGAAACCATACACCTTCCACTGACTCTCCTCGACGCTCTGGACGATATTGGATCCACGTGCTTGGTCTCGCTCGGAAGGTGGGCACCACGTGGGGAAATCGGTACTATCTTGCCTGTCGAAGCCCCTTGCGCCGAGTTCACAACATACCGGGTGCCTGTGATTCTTCTGCGCACGCTGGATCCCGACTTCCTCGAGCCGTTCAGAGACTCTCTGTACGATCCGGCCCATGCCTCAGATAGGCTACAGCGCATGTCACCTGAAAATCGTCGCGACTCCATCATGGCGTTCTGGAATCTAGGATGTCAACTGGGCGTTTGTACCGAAGACTTTTGGAGTATGCTCGATGAAAACTGGCGAACTCTGGAAGCCGGTATGCGGGCATCATACGCGACGGCGGACCATGTCGCCTCCAATATGTCTAGTTGAGGCGGCGCAGTCCTCATTACGGTCGAAGCCCTCGATAGCATGCTCTCACGAGCGACTCCTCTCATCTACAGAGCATGGCTCGACAGTACTCATATGGAATTAATCCGCAACTCTCGTTCATTACAAGAAAGCTATATAACGTACGATAACAAATTGACACAGCTAAACACAACAATGCGAGACGATGCTTGAAAGGAGAGGATAACAGAGCTGACAAGAATATCTAAGAAAAAGTGAAGAGCGGACGTACACAATACATGAACATGGCATGAAACGATTATCTGCGCACGCCTGGACCACTGAAGGGAAATTGCGTTGGCGCGGTGGGCAGTTCAGCCTGCTGCATGAAGGACGTCCACATCTCTTGCAGGCCGCCTTCAGGTTGCACGGACGATTGCGGAGTGCTCAATGCAGGTGGTACCGGAACTGGCAGCTCCCGAGGCATTGAATCGTAGTGCACGAGTGGGGGTGAATTAAGACGCGGAGGTAGCACACGGGGAAGGTGGCCAGAAGCCTGAGGATGGCTGGGCGGCTGATGCATGGAATAGGGATGCTGAATCGGCGGTTGGTGTGTGTGCTGTTGCTGAAGTAATACGGGCATGCTGATGCCGATATCATGCGCGTGTGCCCAGCTGTCCACCGGTGATGCAGATGAAGAGGAGTGTCCCTGCGAGTTGCTACGTGGAGGGGGAGTAACGTAATGGTGACCAGATGCGCTCGGTTCCTGATGGCCGGTAGAGTGGTAATGATGATGATGAGTATTATAGCTGCCGGAGGCATGCGACTGGGGTTCGTAATAAGCTCTAGGTTCGTAGGAGACAGGCTGCCTGAACGAAGGGTCCTCGAATTGCTGCCCAAATTCATTAAGCTCTCGCGCCAGGTGGGGATGCATGTTCGGATCGTAATCATAGCGCACGGAAGATTCTTGCACTTGTGTAACTGGAGGTGGACTGGGCTCGTGCTGCATAGGGGGTGAGCTCGCCGACTTCGTGGAAACCTTGTTCGTCCTTCCTAAGAAGATGTGAAGTTTTTCCTTGTCTTCATCGGCGCCACGCGGTGAGAAAATATCCGGTCTGCGAACGTCCTGCCCTTGACTTGCGTAAAATGCTTGGTGAGCTTTCTCAAAGAAGTGCCGGACTTTAGGCTAAGAAACCGATGTTTAGATAGCAATGTGATGCTATAAGCCCAAAGGCTCACCACAAACTTGACCGCGCGACCACCAATCCGGGCAGCATCCTCAAAGAGAGCACGGGCTTTGTCCATCTCCTCAAGAGCTGATTGAGCAACTTTGGACCTTGATGCATGTGTGACAACCGACGTGATCATAAATCTGATTAGGGGTAAACAGAAGAGACACGAGACGAAGTATGGCAGTACTCAACGTAGCGCTGAATGCATGTGTCCAAAGCACCCATACCCTGGCCAATTCCAAAGGAAAGAGATCGAACTGCTGCCTAAGCAGGCTGACAGTTTCGCATGCTGCGCGATATCCGGCAAGAAAAGACGGCGCGTATGGGCTTTTCAGCGGATCTCCGGTCCGGTCTACAAGTGCCTGACGAGAGAGATAAGCTTTACGGGGTCATTTATAATAGATGTAGATGTACTTGGGCAAAGAACACACGATGGAGGTACATCATGGCTAGCATTCGCGAAAAGTCATGTCAGCGTAAATCCATAACAAAACCTCGTTGGTACAAACGCACCATACCGCGTATAGTTTTGTGGCATGAAGTACTGCATGGTCGCACTCAACCCGACATTCTGTGGAACTCCGCCTTGAGCAAAGTGGGGGAGTTCCATATCTCGAAATTGACGATCGATATCCAAGATGGTGCTGTATTTAGGGACCTTTGCCGTGAGTGATGCCGCGAGAACAGATAAACACTTCGCTCCAAAGCGGGCTTTCCAAGCCGGTACTAGCGTTGACAGGTTACTGTGAATTCAGGAGGAACGAGCAGGTATCCACGTACGACTGGACTGGACTTGTCCATCTTCAGAAAGGGTCTGGTCCGGGTCAAGTGCTAGCTCGCAGTCGACGTGGGCTATTGGGAATGATTGTATTCGTCCGGTCGCCAGACTCTGTCGAAATATATCACGCTTCGGAAGATACCCTCTCAAATCCTCACTTACAACCCAGCAGTCAGTGGTACACACTTCCCAGAACAAGCATCGGCGTGCGTGTATTTCGAGGTTCGAGAGGCCCCATCTCGCGCAATCCCGATCTTATTCCTCAGTCAGCATGTGGAACATACGTAGTCACTAGGTTGGAGACTTACGTAAACCGATCTGGAATGTTCAACGAGGTTAAGCATGCGTAAACCAGTCCATACAGAGCACTCACGCTCTGTGCGAGCTACCGTGATGCGCGAGTAAGTACCTCGATTCGCTGTGATGACAATGTCCCATTACCTTCGTAGCCAAGCCCATGTTTGCCCAGAGGCCCTCTATGGCATTGTCGTCGCAGGTGAGGGCTTGATATATCGCCAGGGTGGAGAACGTTTGGACGGTCGACAACGACGAGGGATGCTCGAGTATAGGCTGTAAGTTTAATGCAGCCCGACTGAGATGATAATACAGTTCGGACTACAACGGATGTCGGTCGTGTCGCTGATTCTCTGAGGTTTGACGGCATACCTCGGCGTTCCTCTCCGGAGGGGCTGGGCGGTTTCTGTCGAAGATGGCTCCGAGACAAAAAACCACAAACACCACGGCCCTTTGTGAACAACTCAGCTGCCGCAAATGCCTTCACGAAATAAGAGGGGCGTACAGATCATGCGGACCCGGTCTCGGAAGAGAGGTAGTCGAGCGAGGAGCCTCGACATAGAACATTGGCAGCAGTTGCTCTTCCAATTGACGACGGGTGACAGCCTGGAAAAACCATATTTCGTATTCCTCGTAAATGTCGGCCAGCTCTCTAGCACGTTCCCAGTGCGGTAGATAACGCCGAATCATGTCCTGGAAGCTCATTGGCGGTAGCGGTCCAAGGGCAAGAGGGAGGGAAGAGGAGTAGTGTGCGATGTCTGGAGGGAGTATGGTAGCGGCATCCCTCGATGCTGAGGCGAGGGGCGTAGGCGGTCCATCTTCAGTTCCCTAGATCAACACAAGGTAAGGAACACGTAAGATGACTGCAGCTACACCACTCACAATCATGAGGCTCTGCACCACCGCAGCATGTTAGCGTCCCAGATACGCAGAGAGATCAACAGATAATCACCTCTGAACCAGCTGAACGGCCGTAGAATGTTGACCCGCCGTCTTCATGCACGGCCAAAGTCCCGAAAGCATCGATATAGTCGGTATCACTTTCGTTCTGCCCGTTCGGACCGAAACCTGCGTCGTTATCTTCGTTGACAGCAGCGTGCATTTCCAGGTTCGATTTGATTTTCATCTTGTCCGCTGAAAGCAATGGATGCGGTTCATGGCTCAAAGACGACTGTCCTCAACACGTCAGAGCGATGCAATATACAATACAAGGGGTTTCCCAACCTGCGCGATTGAGAGTGCGTCTTCAAGTTGCCTACAAAGGCCGAAACATTCGGTAATGAGTTCAACCATGATTAGAAGTAACGCCTTTACACGCCACTTCACCTGATGCGTTCGCTCATGTCTGCCATCTTCTTGTGCAACCGATCTGTATCGGCCAGTACAAAGCTGCGAGCACGATCAGTATACCTGAGTAGCATAAATTTACCGGAACGTACCGAGTGCCGTGCCCTGTTACAAGCTTGCCTGCAGCGTGCCATGTGCGTCGTGAGCATGAGCGTACTCTGTAGTAGCACGCATGATTAACTAACCACTGAGTCCGAATGTCAATACGTTTCTTGTTCGAAGGTTGGCATGCTTGACTTACTTAGGGCATATGGACTCGCATCCTCTGCGCCTGCACGATCCACAAGGTACGCTCTGCGAGCAGCTTGCCGTCAATATCACCTCAGAGCGAGCGAGCGTCCCCGGCTCAGGACAACTGACCTTGTCACATTTAAGCTTCAGACTGAGGCAAGGGCCGAGGTTAAGAATCTGGCGAAGGCGGGTGCAACGTCGAGAACGCGAACTCACCGCCGGCATTCAGCGCAGGATATCGCGCCTCGCGCGCGTTTCTGCTCGATCTCTTGCTGTTTCAACCGGACCTCAGAATCGTCTCCGCGACCACTCTTCGACATCCTGCCGACAGGGAGCCGCCGTGGCGGATGCAGTCTTGGTCCGAGAGAATAGGCTTTTTTGTTCTGCCGGCGGAGACGAGATGGCCGGACTGGTGTGGAGCGGCGGCTGCAAGGACGACTCGGACTGGGATCTATACCGCTGTAGCACGTATATAACGAAATGTCGAGGCGAAGGGCCAGTCGACAAGAAAGATGGTGTCGCCAGGGAGCGCCACGACGAGAACGAGCGACGAAGATATTAATGAACAGTTGCTCGCCAAGCGCCTAAAGAAGGCTCCGCAAGTAGCCGTGGGCCAACTCCGCGAAACTCTGGCGCAAGATTACCGATTGCACCGAGATTGCAACCAAGCACGAGCCAAGCACCTCTCCACGTATGGCGGTCTTCCTTGCTAGATATCCCTGGCTACGGCGTCTCTGAACAGCGCGTTACATCCGCCGAATTGGCACTACAAATAGCTGAATACAGCGTGCTATCATCAACCATGGGAACTCCGGGAGTAATAGTTGCTTTCTTCACACAAGTGTTCCTTCTTATTGCGTAGCCCGCCGGCGGACCAGAGGTGCCGAAAGCCAAGTATAAACCTTCCCTCTCTGCGTTGACGCGTTCACCATCACGTTCTGTCAGAGCGCCCCCACTGAGGCTCCTGATGCGATGATAGACGGCTCCGACTTCGCTTACAACACTATGCGTTGTGCAGAATCAATGGGACGTACAGACACGTGGGGTCATCTATCAACACGTTCGCAGGTGCAGGGCCAGGGGGGAAATCGCAAGTCCGACCACAGGCATTCTTCGCACGCAGATACGTGCTGCTCCGCAAGAACGCCAACCGGAGGCATCACTTGCCATTGTTCGTCTACCCCGTGTCCTCCTGTGCGCTGGTCCCCTGATCCGTACGATAGCAGTCTCGATCGCGACACACATCACAATCAGCCGCCCAGGAAGAAACGTGGCAGAAACATGCCATTGATTCGGTGAACAAGCCTCGGAGATTGAAGGTCAGAGGAAATGCAACATGAGGCGTCAGACCGGTCCACGACTTCTTGCAAACTTGGCTACAAGTATCCTGGACAAGAGGGTATATAAATGCCGCCGAGTACCCGACGCAAAATGTCGTGCGATTGCAAGCGGCCATACCACTCTGATGCATCCCAGCATCGGGAACCGTGATAAAACCGAGACCGGAAGTAGTAAGCATATGACCTGTCGCCCCAAGCGACCTTGCTTTCTGACTGAATGGGTGGACGCAGAGCGGAGAATCGGCGTCTCGATATGAAAGGTGGTCAGGGAACCTTAACGCGAGAGTTCGGCCAAATGCGTAAGCTTGTTTTGCAAATGGCGGTTGTAGCGAGTCGCAGTGCAACGTGCATTCATTCGAAGAAAGGGTTCACGGGAAAGCCTGCTTCATGTAGTGGAGCAAGAGAGGCTACTCTCGGCACGAGCCGATGCCGCACCAATTTACGATGTCTCTCGATAGGACGAAGTGACCGTCCTCTTCAAAGCTACAAGTCCAAGTCTTCCATCATCTCACTGGAATGATCACATAAATGTGATCCACGCGTACGGGCGACTTCGAAGGTAGCGGATGTTCATGTCGTCACTGCTTCCTCATTCCACCGTGCGGCAAATCGGGCGTAGATTTCCGAGTCGTGACCTTTGGATAGTGCCGCGAGCGCAGCGCATACAGATCATCGCACACGCAGACCCGGCTTACATGGGTGCGAGGATCATGCCTGCTACACATTCGGGGCGTTTTGACAACTTGACATGTCTTATTCATGTATCGCAGGGCGCGCTGGCACAAAAGCTCTTCCCAATGAACGGGTACCAACTGCTCCAAATCTTTGGATCGTCGCCGCAGAAAGAATACCGGTACTGGATCTCATCCTCCCAAATCCGGATTCGAGAGCCTGATTTTCGAGCTGATGCAAGTACCCTGACATCCTCGCGAATCCTAGTACTAGCTGAACTCCGACGGGTTGGGCATCTGAAATCTGCGCGTGGGGGACTAGGTGCATGCTAGTGACGACAGCCTCAGTCTATCAGCAACACGCACCACGGCATGACGATAATCCCTACTCTTCATCGAAAGAATCGAATATCCGTGCGCAACGCCAAAAAGCCTCGGACCGCTCTTGAACGCTCGAGCTCATGGCTTGTGTTCACTCACGCCCCCTTGTACGTAACGACCACGCCCACTGCAGCGTCATTCGCCGTGATGTAGGGTTGATGTGGGTTTATATTCATCATGTTTAGTATGGTACTATGTCAAGGCAGTGATGCTATGAGACGTATGTTACATAAACAACGGGTCGGACCCTAAGTGAGATCAATGACGTCGTCCACATTGTAGGTTGCTTTACGCTTCCGACTGGGCTGCGTGGCTACTGAAGGTAAAGTCGTCGGAAGTTGCGTTGCCGTTGCAGATGAATTGGAGGCACCACGACCAGCAGGGTCCGAAAAGGAAACTGATGGTAAGCCCGCACCCGGTGCTGATCGCAACGAGTTGGATATCATGTTGCTGATAGATTTGCGACCGTAGAATAGATCGGCCATCGATTGGTAATCGGCGCCAAAGACTGACCGCAGGACTTCCGGTTTGTCCGAGATTGATTTCAAGATGCTGGGGCTTTGTGCAAGTGTCGCTTTCCACTTGATGGGCTGGTAAATCAGATCGGTCTTCATGACCTGGAAAATAGTAACGAGTCTATTTGCACGAGTATCATCATGCACAGGCAAGTGTTTACGTACCGATAAGCCTTGAGGACTAGTTGTGATCGTCGACCATTGTGCGCAAGAACCTGCGTATGTCAGGAGCTGTTGCTCAACATGCCTGCGTTTCGGTGCGCCTATGCACTCTAACCGGTGGCTCCTCTCCGGACTCGTGGTCAGGAACCGGAAGATTTCGGTACAAGGTGCACAAGTGCAATCGTGACTCCGCATTCGCGCAACATGCTGGGTTGCTTCGGAGGGCTTGGGTCCAAGGACCTTCGTTACCCAAAGATAGGCAATCATCTTGAACGTATCACTGAAAGGCTTCGAGTCGAGTTGAATTTGGTGCTTCGTCACCCATTGCCGCAACTCTGGTAGGAAAGGCGCGAGGACGTTCTCAATGTACGCTGGCGTGAGATATGCGGATTCCAGGAGACGCTTCAAGACGAGCTCGCAATACGTGACACCGCTGGCGCTGAAGCCAATTCCAGAAGCTCGATTGCCTTGGCACGGTTGACATGAGGAGGTGTCGTGGATCAACCGAGGCCATAATAGGGGTAGGCTGGTTGAGGAGTGTACGCGGTGAATGAAGCCTTCTGGATCGCAAAAGTCAGTGCCTCTCTGATCAGTGATGAGAAGGAATCATCGGAAGAGCCTGCGGAGATCTCGGCACGGCACATCTCGGCACGGCACATCTGCAACTCCCTGATGAAGTCCACGATGCTGGTATGCGAGTTCGTTGCTGTCTTCAACGCCGACCATACGCTATCAGGGTACATGAAATTAGCCGGGGAATACGGCGACGTAGGGAACCACGAACGTCTTGATGAATAACCCCACATCGCCGCCTAGGATGCAAGCTTGCACGATGCAGGCAATTTCATCCCTCGTGGGGGCACATACGGACCAAGCCCGCACGGTTGACCCCACCACAAATTGCGATAGCTTGTCGAGGTGCGGAATACTTTGCGATTGGGGCGGGCGCGACTTGAGTCTGGCGGCGATCAACGGAATGAGGGGTAGAAGGACACGTTTCTTCCGAGATTGTGTAGTATCAGGCGAGATACTGCTCACACGGATATCTGCTGAGGGATTCGTGACCTGAGGCTCTTCATCATCATCGCTGGACTCGGTATCTTCGGATAATCGGCTAGTGTCCGCCTCCTTGGTCTGAGCAGCAGCAGACTCTGATATTGCAGTTTGCGCCGGCTCGTGAGGGAAAGCAGCCTGAACCTGGGCCTCCATGCGCAAGCCAAGTTGAGCACTTCGAACGATGGGATTCTACGTCCTTGATCGACGAATGTGGTTGAGGAGAGAGAAGTCTACTCAGGCTTGTGAACGCGTGAGGTCAAGGCAAAGAAAACGTGACCGCGCGGCGTGTTATATTATATATAACGCGGCCGTAAGTATGCCGTATGCCTTTAAGTTTGAATAAAAAATCTGGTTTGGGTCCTTCGGAATCGTAGCCTGTGGCATGGAGGCATCGCACCAGACCAAACGGCCGGTTTCGCAATGCGTGGTGCCAGAGCGCGTCGAGGCGCAGTGCGTGGTGCCACTGCTGCAACGAAGGGTATTACCAGAGGCACGCGCACTGCCGCCTGCCTGCTCGACGCCCGTCCTCTGATTCCTCGATCTCGCCGCGAATTGAACTGTATTCGAGATGGTCTTTGTGATAATTTGCTTTCCACCTACATTTCTTGTCACTGTCCCCACGCGGCCCCCGCAAACCGGAGTGAGAACAAGCACGCAATCCTGGTACATATGGAGTGACACAGGATTCTGAGCGAGACTTTGCATTTATCCGACAGCCTCTATCACGGGCCACGGTGGCCTATCACTGTTTGCATATACATGTTCATGCAGCTATCAACATGGATTCCTCTGGGGGTGTTGCTGCGTATCTTGCTCGCCCCCAAAGCCGTACCAACCACTCCGAAGAGACCTGGCTCAGATGAATCACAGGCGAATCTCGCACTCGAGAATTTTCCGACGTCAGGGGAGCCCAATATACTTTTTATCCTCACTGACGACCAAGACCTGCGGCTTGACTCACTCGAGTATATGCCGTTTCTGCAAAGACATCTCATCAAACAGGGAACACTATTCCAACGACATTTCTGCACGACTGCTATCTGCTGCCCCTCTCGCGTTAGCCTTTGGACGGGAAAATCTGCGCACAATACCAACGTGACTAATGTGAGCCCTCCTTATGGTTCGTAGTGCCCTCATTGGGTGATTGAATCCTAATCAATCCTCTAGGGGGATATCCGAAGTTCGTGTCTCAAGGACTCAATGATGATTGGCTCTTTCCATGGCTCCAGGAAGCTGGGTACAACACGTATTACACTGGAAAACTTTTCAACGCACATACAGTCGAAAACTATAACTCTCCCTTCCCCTCTGGCTTCACCGGCTCGGTACGTATCAGATATGGTATGGTACCAGTTGGATATTCACGCACTGGTAGGACTTTCTCCTTGACCCTTACACGTATCAATATTACAACAGTACATTCCAACGGAACAAGAACCCTCCTATCCTTCACGATGGTGTTTATCAGACCGACTTGATTGCCGAAAAGGCGTACGGTTTCCTCAGTGATGCCGTCAACGCTGGAAAGCCGTTCTTCCTCGCTGTAGCGCCTACCGCACCACACGCCAACGTAAAAGATGGTGTATTCACCGAGCCACAGCCTGCGAGACGTCACGAGAAACTCTTCCAGAATGCTCGTGTGCCGCGGACAGACAGTTTCAACCCGGAAAAGGTATGGTCCTGTTGTGGGGTCCTGAATGCCATGTTCTAACTCGCAATATACAGTCATCTGGAGCTAACTGGGTTCTTGAACTGCCTCAGCAAAACAAGAGCAACGTCGACTACAACGACCACCTGTATCGGCAACGCCTTCGTGCCCTTCAGAGTGTTGATGAGATGATCGACGGTCTCATCACTCGTCTCGAACAACGTGGGCTCCTCGACAGCACATACATAATATACACTGCCGATAATGGGTACCACATTGGCCAGCACCGTTTGCAACCGGGAAAGACATGCGGTTACGAGGAAGACATCAATGTCCCGCTTATAGTCAGAGGACCTGAAGTCCCTCAAAACAAGGTCACAGACATCGTTACAACACACACCGACCTCGCTCCAACTATTTTCAGCCTCCTAGGCCTGAAGCTCCACAGCAGCTTTGATGGTGCTGTCATTCCTTTGACACAGCAAGGCCTTGCAGATGCAGCTCTTTCGCGTCACGAACATGCCAATGTCGAGTTTTGGGGGATCGCTATCCCTGAGGGCATTCACGCTGGTGAGACTCAACGCTGTACTGCGTGGGAAGTAGAAACTGATCGAGTACTAGGGGAACGCCCAACGAATAATACTTATAAGGCGTTGCGCCTGGTTGGCAGGTCGTTCAATCTATACTATTCGGTCTGGTGCAACAACAAGAAAGAGTTGTACGATCTCTCCACAGACCCCTACCAGATGTACAATCTCATTGCAACAGGATCACCAAACGGCACCTACACAGGAAACGCAGCACTACATCTCCCAGGCCGCTCAGTCTTGCTGCCCCGATTAGATGCTCTCCTCCTGGTGCTCAAATCCTGTGTGGGAAATGCATGCATTAATCCCTGGAAATCACTCCACCCAACTGGGGAGGTGCGAAGCCTTGAGGATGCGCTGAAGCCGCAGTACAATGCATACTACACTCAGCTCCCACGGGTGGAATTCACGAGTTGCGAGATCGGTTATATTATTGAGGCGGAGGGACCTCAGTGGGCCAAATATGAGCGGCAATAACTAGTTTGAATGGGATGGAGGATCATGGTCGGATTGGGTCTGATGATGACGTGGTTCTCGATATGTGAAAACTGTCAAAGTATTATATCTTTGTCTATTGCACAACGAATATTAGGATGGGCCCGGGGTGAACACCACATGCAGAAAGTACTCCTTAGGAACCATGCTGTAGGAGTACAGGACACTATATGTTGTATCAGAGTTGAAACAATCCTTGCAGACTCTGCCACAGCAGTGCTCGTCTCTCCTGAGTATATGGAGTCAACTTCACTGCACAGTCCCTGTAAGAGCCGTATCCTGTCGCTACTTCTCGCGAGATAGTCAATTTACCCATATTCTCAATCGGCGAACACAACAGCACCCTGTCTGCTCGCATGGTGAGCATTGCCATTGCCACCTTCCATGATTGCTTTGCGGCAGTTTTGAAAAGAGACCCAAGTGAAGGGATCAGCTTGCCATCTTGATTCCCATTAGATTCCTGCATAAAGTGTCGAGACAGAGTAGGGCTCACCCGGGAGGATAATCAAGCAGTGAGCTGCCGGGATTTAGGCCAGTCAAGAGCACAGGCCAGAAAAGCATTGATACAATGGCTGGAAGACGTGTGAAAAGGCATACCAGACTAGAAACGGGACAACGTCAGCGATCAATTTGTGCAGCCTGATGTTCGCTGTCAGGTAATCCTGCGGTACTTGCCTGTAAAGGGACAGGCATTGTAGGCGGTAAATTCACGTCCAGCTACCCGTGAAAGCCATGCAACAGTGCCGACAAGCTGTAGAACTGTACTGAGTGCACAAAGTCCGCGGGGAGTCCGATTCGAAGATACAAGGGGAGTGCATACCATAATGTCGCAGAACATACAGTGAGGAGAGGGGTGTCTCGTTGAATGGTTCTCGCGTGTCCACAGCCGATAAGATTAGCGCGCTAGAGATGCTACATGTCTGTTTGAGGCGATGAGGTTCGAAAAGGCAGCGAGGAGTGCGGTATACCAGGCATGCCGCTGGATTGACCCCGCATGTCCCGCAGTAGTCTCAAGGCAAGTGGTACGCACGATGTCATCTCCAACAGCGATACACGATCCATTCTGTCTCGACTATTGGCATGCATGGATCAGAGAAGTGGACAGGCTTCGGAGCAATGGCCCGCTTACCCTGTGTCGCTTCGAGAATCCCGGATCCAGCAATGCATACGTAGTCAGCTCTTTCATGGCGGGTCGAACTTATTTGACGTGCACGCGAGCCGCTTCTACCGAAAGTTCGGTAGAGGTAAACGGCCTGGATTCAATTGCTCCTGTCGCACCTTCAGTCGCAGCTCAAGCGCTTAATTATGCACTTACAAAGTTACCACTCGATTCGTTTGTGACCGGTGACAGAGCACCGCTCTTCCTTCTGGAAACGGCATTCTCTGCTTACCTGGCCTTCGTCGAAGTCCTCGAACCCCTTACGAAAAACGGTCGCCGGGGACAACTGCGCGTTTCATGTGGGCGCAAGTGCAAATGGGTTATAGAACCAGTCACGGTCATAGTCACGGTCATGTACTTACAGCCCGGCGCATGATCACCGTAAACAGGACCGGAGTAGACGTTTACGCGAGACCGCTGACCGATGTAAGTACCCGGTCTTGGCGTTGCACTGTGCCAACCGATGATCATCTTCAAGCACGGGCTCAGAAAGGCCCAACAATCGTGTTGCTGCGTCAGCTGCCGTGCGGCATGGGTTCGTACGATGCCCCGGCCGGATTGGCCGTACCTGCGTTGTTGTGTTGATGCGGCTGTCCCCACAGGCGCGGCCACCGACCGGTATTTATGAGATGCCTCCCACTGCGGACGGCTTGCATGTGAGAGTTCCGGGGTAGGTTCCCTTTCGGTGCGATACGGACACGCTCTGCCCAAGGAAAAAATGCCAGTCGTCTGGCCTATTTTCCTCTAACTTATTCCTACGAATACAAATGAGGACAGGGTTGGATAGCACGATAAATTGCAGTCGATGCAGTCCAAGACGGCGTTATCGTCCGTGCACATCAACGCCTGCCCGGCGTGACAGTGACGTCAGCCGTAATTGAACAGGGAACGGGGACAATGCCTTGACTGTGACGGGTGACACGTTCAGTGCCCTTCTTTTCCTCGCCTCCTCCACGACGCCCACTACTACGACCTTGACGCCGACGACGAAGAGCAGCTAACCACTGTCGTCGTCGCGCACAATGTCGCAGTATCCACGAACCCACTCGCACGAAGGGCTCTACCCAGCCGCGTCGCCCCCACCGTCCGACTCACATGGTCATGATCCGTTCAACGCACCCCAACACACCCTCCCACACAGATACTACGACAACGACTCGGACCAACTGGATCAACCTCTTCGGCGAGACACCCTTGGTTCTGACAGTAGCAACGGACCTGCAGATGCTGAGCGCTATTACGACCACCACGGCGCATATGACCCGTATTCCCAACAGGACACGGACTCGGACTACGATGTCAACGGACCTCATTACGTGCCATCCGCGGAATCCTTGGGCCCTCCTCAACGAATGGGCATCTCGGAATCATCAACGCCTACTTTTGTCGACTACGGGCCAACGAACGGGCGTGAGCCGTATCCAGCTTGGACCGCTGAGCGGCAGATCCCGTTGTCGAAAGAGGAAATCGAGGATATCTTTCTCGATCTGCAACAGAAATTTGGCTTTCAACGTGATTCAATGCGTAACATGGTAATTATTCCTTGCCCTCTGTTCATGCTGTGCAAAGCTGACGTCGATACCCGCAGTTTGATTTCCTGATGCAGCTTCTCGACAGTCGTGCTTCGCGCATGCCGCCTGCTCAGGCCCTTCTTACTCTCCACGCAGACTACATTGGTGGGCAAAACGCAAACTATCGCAAATGGTACTTCGCCGCCCAGTTGGACCTTGACGACGCTGTTGGCCAGACCCAGAATCCTGGTCTCAACAGAATCAAGTCCGTGAAGCGACGGACCGGTCGGGGGGCTGAGAAACAACTCAACAGTGCTCTCGAGCGGTGGCGGCAGGCGATGAACAATATGAGCGCGTATGATCGAATGCGCCAAATCGCCCTGTATCTCCTTTGTTGGGGCGAAGCGGCGCAAGTTCGCTTCGTGCCCGAGTGCTTGTGTTTCATTTTCAAGTGCGCGGACGACTACTACCGTAGTCCGGAGTGCCAGAACCGTGTCGACCCGGTTCCGGAGGGGCTTTACTTGCATGCGGTCATCAAGCCCCTGTACCGTTTCATACGTGACCAGGGATACGAGGTGGTCGATGGCAAGTTCGTCAGGAGAGAGAAGGATCACGATCAGATCATCGGGTACGACGATGTCAACCAGCTGTTTTGGTACCCAGAAGGCATCGCACGGATTGTGCTCACGGATAAGGTAAGTTGTATCTCACAATTTTTTTCCCAACCGGTATACCGACATATCCTTTAGCAACGCCTTGTTGATATACCGCCGGCCCAAAGATTTATGAAGTTCGATCGCATTGATTGGAACCGTGTTTTCTTCAAGACATACTACGAAAAGCGGAGTTTTGGTCATTTGCTCGTCAACTTCAACCGGATATGGGTCATCCACGTTTCCATGTACTGGTACTACACTGCCTTCAATTCCCCTACCATCTATGCACCTAGCGGTACCAGCTCTCCCTCGGCTGCCATGCACTGGTCAGCCACGGCACTCGGTGGTGCTGTAGCCACGGGCATCATGATACTCGCCACGCTCGTGGAGTTCACGTACATCCCCATGACCTGGAACAACACATCTCATCTCACCCGTCGGCTCCTTTTCCTGTTTGTAACCCTCGCGCTGACTGCTGGCCCTACGATTTACATCGCGATCGCGCAAGGCAACAAGAACACTGGTTCGCTATCGCTCATCCTTGGTATCGTCCAGTTCTTCATCTCCGTCGTCGCCACCCTCCTTTTCGCTATCATGCCTTCGGCACGGATGTTCGGCGACCGAGTGGCTGGCAAGAGTAGGAAGTATCTCGCCTCGCAGACGTTCACGGCCAGCTATCCCTCTATGCGCACTCCGGCTCGGCTCGGCTCCGTCTTGTTATGGTTCCTTATATTCGGGTGCAAACTCACCGAATCCTACTTCTTCCTCACCCTTTCTTTCCGCGATCCCATCCGCGTGATGGTTGGGATGAAGGTTCAGGGATGTAATGACAAGCTCTTCGGAAACGCCCTCTGTCGTAACCAGGCAGCATTCACCCTCACGATCATGTATATCATGGACCTCGTCCTGTTCTTCCTGGACACGTTCCTGTGGTATGTCATTTGGAACACGGTCTTCAGCATTGCCCGAAGCTTCGCTCTGGGATTGTCGATCTGGACCCCGTGGAAGGATATCTTCACCCGTCTACCCAAGCGGATCTACGCCAAGATTTTGGCAACGCAGGACATGGAAGTCAAGTACAAGCCCAAGGTAACGCGCATTTTTATATTCTTCTCTCCATACTGAACATGACGTCCACTAGGTCCTCGTATCGCAGATTTGGAACGCGATCATCATCTCGATGTATCGCGAGCATTTGCTCTCCATCGAGCACGTGCAGAAGCTTCTGTACCACCAGATCGACACTCCGGATGGCCGTCGTAGTCTTCGTGCACCGCCTTTCTTCCTATCCCAGAATGACCCGAAACTCAAGGGGGAGTTCTTCCCTGCGGGCAGCGAGGCGGAGCGCCGGATTTCTTTCTTCGCTCAGAGCTTGACGACTGCCGTGCCTGAGCCGCTTCCCGTGGATGCCATGCCGACGTTCACGGTCCTAACCCCCCACTACAGTGAAAAGGTCCGCTTGATCTCCTTGTCGAGGTTATAACGTTTCCTTACCTTTATTGTCAGATTCTCCTGTCGCTTCGTGAAATCATTCGTGAGGAGGATCAGCATGCGCGAGTCACGCTTCTTGAGTACCTCAAGCAGCTTCATCCGGTTGAGTGGCAGAACTTCGTCAAAGATACAAAGATCCTTGCGGAAGAATCCGAGATGTACAACGGGCCCAGTCCGTTCGGTGATGAAAAGGGTAACGCCAAGACGGATGACCTACCCTTTTACTGCATCGGCTTCAAGAGTGCTGCCCCGGAGTACACTCTTCGCACCCGCATCTGGGCTTCACTGCGCGCGCAGACGCTCTACCGGACGGTGGCCGGCATGATGAACTATGCGAAGGCTATCAAGCTCCTCTATCGCGTTGAGAATCCGGAAGTCGTTCAACTGTTTGGCGGCAATACCGACAAACTTGAGCGCGAACTCGAGCGCATGTCACGTCGCAAGTTCAAGTTCATCGTCTCCATGCAACGATACTCGAACTTCAACAAGGAGGAGCACGAAAACGCTGAGTTCCTGCTGCGCGCGTATCCGGACCTGCAAATTGCGTACCTGGATCAGGAACCCCCGCGCAAGGAAGGGGGTGACCCTCGCTTATATTCGGCTCTCATCGACGGTCATTCGGAGTTCGTCCCTGAAACCGGCCGCAGGCGCCCCAAATTCCGCATCGAACTGCCCGGCAATCCTATCCTTGGAGACGGAAAATCGGACAACCAGAATCATGCCATCATCTTTTATCGCGGTGAATACTTGCAGCTTATCGATGCCAATCAAGATAACTACCTCGAAGAGTGCCTCAAGATCCGCAATATTTTGGGCGAATTTGAGGAATACTCCGTCGCAAACAACCAGAACCCGTATTCGTCTTGGGGTGCCAATCCGAAGACCCAGCACGTGCCGGTTGCCATCGTCGGTGCCCGCGAGTACATTTTCTCGGAGAACATTGGTATACTTGGTGACCTTGCCGCCGGCAAGGAGCAGACGTTTGGTACGCTTGCCGCTCGGTCGCTCGCTTGGATCGGCGGCAAGCTCCACTACGGCCATCCGGATTTCCTGAACGGGCTTTTCATGAACACTCGGGGCGGTGTCTCGAAGGCGCAGAAGGGTCTTCATCTTAATGAAGACATTTACGCTGGCATGAACGCATTCGGACGAGGAGGCAGAATCAAACATACTGAATACTATCAATGTGGCAAGGGTCGTGACCTCGGCTTCGGTACCATCCTCAACTTCACTACAAAGCTAGGGACTGGCATGGGCGAGCAGATGCTCAGCCGGGAGTACTATTATCTAGGCACGCAGCTTCCCATCGACCGGTTCTTGACTTACTACTACGGTCACCCTGGCTTCCACATCAACAACATGCTCGTCATCTTGTCCGTGCAGGTTTTCATCGTAACAAGTGAGTGATCATTCTTTCGACCTTGATCTCCTCTGAATATTCTACAGTGGTCTTCTTGGGGACCCTTAACTCCCAACTCACGATCTGCAAGTACACGTCTTCTGGACAGTTCATTGGTGGCCAGGGTGGCTGTTACAACCTGGTGCCCGTTTACGACTGGATTGATCGTTGCATAATCAGCATCTTCTTGGTGTTTATGATTGCGTTTTTACCCTTGTTCCTCCAAGGCGAGTGATTCTCCGTTCCTGCAGCACAGGACTGCTTCTGATACTCGAAACAGAGCTTGTTGAACGAGGAACGGTGCGGGCCATACTTCGACTTGGGAAGCAGTTCATGTCGCTTTCTCCGGTATTCGAGGTTTTCTCGACGCAGATATACACGCATTCGATTCTCAGCAACCTAACATTCGGAGGCGCCCGTTACATCGCTACCGGACGTGGATTCGCGACGTCACGTATCTCGTTCGCTATCTTATACTCGCGGTTCGCCGGACCTAGCATTTACTTCGGCATGAGGACCCTTCTCATGCTTCTCTACGTCACGGTCTCGCTTTGGACTCCGTACCTCATCTACTTCTGGATCTCCACCTTGGCCCTTTGTGTTGCGCCATTCATGTTCAACCCTCATCAATTCGCGGTGACGGACTTCATCATTGATTATCGGTGAGCATCCAGTTTATTTGACCGAGCATGACCTCATCAGTCATGCAGAGAGTTTTTGCGCTGGATGAGTCGTGGCAATTCGCGCTCTCACAACAACTCCTGGATTGGATATTGCCGCTTAAGCCGTACGATGATCACAGGTTACAAAAAGAAGAAACTTGGCAAACCGTCGGAGAAATTATCCGGTGACGTCCCACGAGCTGGGTGGAGGGCTGTCATCGTTTCGGAGGTTATCTTCCCTATCGTCATGGCGATCCTCTTCACCGTCGCCTACATGTTCGTGAAATCGTTCCCCGTTGAAGGCAAGACTCCACCAAGCCCGCTTATCCGGATTGCCATAATTTCCCTCGGACCAATCGTCTGGAACGGTGCGGTGTTGCTCGTGCAGTTCATGATTTCGCTGTTCTTGGGACCCATGCTCGATTCCTCGTTCCCGAAGTTCGGTTCAGTGATGGCATTCGTTGTTCATATCCTTGGCGTAGCCGGCATGATTGCTTTCTTCGAGTTCCTGGTACGTGACGTAGTGCCCCTTCTTGGTCGCTGCTCACCTCGCTGTTTCCCAGTGGTTCCTCGAAGTTTGGAACTTCCCCCACGCCGTGATTGGCCTGATTGCCGTGATCGCGATCCAGCGCGCCGTACACAAGGTCCTTATCTCAGTGTTCCTCTCTCGTGAATTCAAGCACGACGAAACCAACCGGGCTTGGTGGACCGGCAAGTGGTACGGCCGCGGGCTGGGCAACCACGCTATGTCGCAGCCTGCGCGCGAGTTCGTCGTCAAAATCATCGAGCTGTCGCTCTGGAGCTCCGACTTGCTTATTGGTCACTTCCTGTTGTTCATGTTGACGCCGCCTCTTCTCATCCCATATTTCGACCGCATCCACGCGACGGCGCTTTGTGAGTCATGGATCTTTCCAACCTTTCGCTAAGCCGTGCTAACTGCCTTCTCCCACTTAGTCTGGCTTCGCCCTTCGAAGCAGATAAGACCACCACTGTATTCCCTCAAGCAGAAGAAACAACGGCGATGGATCGTACTCAAATACGGCACAATCTACCTGCTTGTTATCGGCATATTCGCGACGCTCATCACCGTCCGTGAGTACAATCTGTGACTGATCGTTGCTATCGCGTATTGATCTCCGTTTTTTTTCTTTTGCAGCGGCGGTGTTGCGGTCGTCACTCAACATTCACTGTTCGATTTGTGAGAACTTGTAATGGACTATATCTCTATACATACCCTAGACATTTGTACGTTCTTTCTTCCGATTGCTGCTATCTGCATTCGAGGACATTAGTTAGTACCTGCATCACTGCGTCGGCCTCGGACATTGCCCCATTATCGCATTGAATGATAGTCTCTATGGAATAGCACCTTGTCGATATCTATCTGATCTTGACAAAATCGACGACTTTCATGAATCGCATATAGCTGAGCATATGAGATGCACAGGACCTTTCGCATTCCGAGTGCCGATCGGTCGGGTACACGCTACAAATTATGCCATCATCATCGTTGGGCTACATTAGATCTGTATATCCGCGAAAACAGGACGGTGGTCACTGGCCACTGTGCCGTCGTCGGTGAGTGAAGTATCGACTTTGTATCCGGTGACGTTCCTGAACAGCGTGTCAGACCTACGCGACCAAGAGGTATATAGATCGTCGTTGGCGCGTACCATCCCCCGTTGCTGCCTCCGAACACGAAGTCGATCCTCCCCCACTGCGACGTGTCGTTCGGGGCGGAGAACCCGGCAAACGTCGCAAAGTTGGCGCCCACGTTGATCCTGGCCGTCTGCGCGCGCAAGTCCAGCATCTTGAAGTCCGGCTGCTCGTCGTCCGGAACCGCGAATCTCGCGGCGAAGGTCGCGTTCACGGCGACGGGGGTGGCGGCGCCGGTGATGATCTCGTACGCACCCGAGTCCGATCCGGTCTCGTGGCTGTCGGGGCGTGAGCATGGGAGGAGGACGGAGAGCGCGGGAGAGGGGATGGATCAGAACGGACGCACCTGTTGAAGTCGCCGGTGACGAAGACGGGGTTGTTGTGCGTCGCGGCTTCGAAACGGGCGCGGATGAGGATCATGGACGCGGCCAGCTTGCGTTGGTCGTCCGACTTGTCGTCGAGGTGCGTGTTCAGGTAGGAAAAGTTGACGGGCGCGCTGGGTCCCGTGTTGAGCGTGAAGCGCGACGCGGTGCAGATGCGCACGGATCCAGCGCCGGGGAACTTGGAGCCAGCGTCGAACGGTTCGTTCCTGGGACAGGATGGAATACTGAGATGCAAGGCATGACCGTGACATGACCACACGCGTACGAAAGCCAGAAGGAGTCGTTGGACAACAGCGTGACATCGGATTTCTTGTAATAGATGGCGCTGAATTCGCCTGCTTCGGCGCCGTCGTCTCTGCCGACACCGAACTGCGCACGAGAGGGATCCTCAATATCGACAAGGAGCGCGCCAGAGACTCAGGGGCGACGACGTACGTGCGCCCATTCGTCGCCAAAGAGCTCTTGGAGATCGTTGACCTGCCTAACGAGCGCTTCTTGGACGCCTGTACGGCTGATGAGAGGAAGTAGTAGATCCTAAAGGAACATGTAATCATCACCGAAGAGGCTGAGACCTTCGCTAATGAGGTGCTGGGCGATCTTGATACGCCTCGTCGACCACGGCTGCTCTCCACTGAGCGCGAGGAATGCAGGTTGCGTGAGCGGGTCGGGCAGCGCGGCGATAGATTGCTGGACCGTGATGTTGTCCGGCATGGAGTCAAACCGCAGGTTATGGGTGGCGATGCGGAACCCGCGGGCCACGCTGGACCATCCTACGAAAAGGGCCGCGAGGAAAAGCTGTTTGAACGACATCGGTCTGGCGCGTACCGGAGAGTGTTGCCGGAAGCCGTCCCCCATCGACGGCGTTTATGTAGTTAGGCTAGACGAGATGACCATGACACGAACATGTGTAAACGCCCTGTCATCTACACGGATCAGCGCAAGCCGTAGCTCGGTAGACTGAAGACGGGAAGTATGAGAGACAGAAGGCGCCGGAGAGCATGCATATTGGAGAGATGGATGCGCGGGAAGCGCGCGCACGTGCTTGAGAAGGAAGAGCCCTCGCTCAACGTTCGTCACAGGCCAGTCAAGATGGGCCTTCTCGAGCATCAGCCGCGGGCGTCTCGTGAATATCAGTCCTTCGATGGCCGTGCGGGGTGTCCGCCTGACGGTGCGCCGGCCAAACCAGGCCATCGAAGACGGCTCACGTGGGGTCGCCCGCGCAAACGCCATTCGGCAACGTCGAGCAATCGTGCGCGTGCTTGCGACCCATCATGTTCGAATGATACACAAGGCATCGTTCAGAGTACAACGTCCACGAAGACGGGCCGGTGGTCGCTAGCTAATGTACCGTCGTCCGTCAAGGCCGTATCGACCTTGTACCTCGTGGCCTCCCTGGATCGATGGTCTCGTCAGAGGCATCGGAAGGTCATAAGACGAGCACTCACCATCCCCCGTTGTTGGCTCCAAAGATAAAGTCGATGCGCGACCAGATGGACGCGTCGTCCGGAGCGGTGAAGCCGGTAAAGGTCGCGTAGTTGGTGCCGACGACGTGTCGCGGGACCACCGCACGTAGATCGAGCAGCTTGAAGTCGGGCAGGGTGGCCCGCTTGACCTTGTACTTTTCCTCAAAGTCTGCAGGGACCGGTACGGGAGCGATGGCGCCCGTGATGATGTTGTAGGCGCCAGCGTCGGGACCGGTAGGCGGGCTGAACGAGGAGTATTGAGCATCGGGTCTACCGAAGGGAATCCCGTACGTCACGTACCTGTTGAAGTCGCCGACTACAAAGACCGGGCCGCCTGTGTTCGCAGCCTCGTAACGGGCGCGCATGAGCAACATCGCGCCGGCCAGCTTGCGCTGATCATCCGAGCGGTCGTCCAGGTGGGTGTTCAACAGCGTAAAGTTCGAAGTCGCGTTCGAGCCAGTCAGGGTAAAGTGTGCTGCGGTGCAGATTCTCCTGGAACCGGCATCGGGATGCTTGGACGGTTCAAACGGCTGGAGACTGCGGGTGGAGCAAAGCGGTGAACGAACGAGACGGAAAGGGAGGGGTTCAGCCGACGTACGAGAGCCAGAACGAGTCCCATGAGTTTAGCCTGATGGATGACCTTGGAACAGGGACTGATCGTCAGCTGCGGCCCGTGGCGTTCCAACGCATTCGCTCGCGACCACGGACCTCCTGTAGTAGATGGCACTATGTTCTCCAGCCTGCTTGCCGTCGTCGCGGCCGATGCCGATCTAGCACGGCACGCGCGGTGAGCGCCGAAGAGACGTCGTCGGCTCCAACTCACATGGTCCCAGCCGTCGCCGAGCAGCTCCTGGAGGTCGTTGACCTGTCGGATGAGGGCCTCCTGGACGCCTTGCGGGGCCGTGGCGGTGTGAACGCGCAGAGGCACAGGTGGAGCTGCGACTCACAAAAGACGTCGACGTTCTCGCTGAGGATGTGGTGGGCGACGTGGAGCCTGCGCTTGGACCAGGGCTGCTCGCCGTGCTTGTGGAGAAAGAGGGGTTCGGTGAGCGGGTCCGGGAGGTGGCTGAGGGACTGCTGGACGGTGATGTTGTCCGGGATGGAGTCGTAGCGGAGGTTGTAGGTCGCGATGCGCATCCCGTTGGACGGGCCATCGACGGTGCCTGCGGGATCTGCGGAAGGGTGAGCGCGGTGGACGGCGGCGCGAGGGGCAGGTGGTTACTTGAGCCGTAAGTGTCCACGAGGGCCCAGAGCGGGAGATAGATGAGGTGCGGAAGGACGCTCGCGAGGCACTCACGGATCTGCATGAGCGCGGCCGGCGATGGGAGAGTCCAAAGAGGACGGCCGAGCGGTCTCCTTCTACGTCCCCAGATCGAACGGAACGTTCATGGATTGCACCGTCCACCGCCCTTCTGTTGTATCCGACACAGTGGAGCACCCGCGCATCCTGGCTACAACTCAGGTCCAGCATTGACCCCCCCTCCGCCCGTACGCGTGCCTCGCTCTGGTCCACCCGCCGTTTAAATGCGACTTGTGCATGCGCCAAACACCCGGACCTCGTCTGCATACGCACGAACCCGCACCAGTCCACCGACTTCCCGCCAGTTCCCGCCCCGTAAATTTCTCCTGGGCGCTCGTCATGTACACGTCCCGAATCGGCCTGCCGACGTCCTTTGCCCATGGCCCTTTCGCCGGGCTCACCGTGCGCGCCGAGCTCGAGGAGCTCCAACAGGTGTGTACCGCCAGTCCCGCACCCCGTCATCTTTTTTATTTATTTTTTCCCTCCTTCGTATAGGCCGACCTCGGCCGCAAGTACGCGGTGAAAGGTCCGTGTCGTCCCCCCTCCTCCCCCGCCATATCTTCGCCAGACTTAAAGCTCTCCAGACCGCAGGCCCCTGGGTGCTGCTCTTCCATACTCACCGTCGCTATACCCTCGTCCTGATCGCTTAGTCAGACCCTCCGCCGATCCTCAAGCTCTACCTCTACGAGGTTCGCCACTGTGATACCGCGCGCGAGACCGAGCACGAGCTGGAGTACACGTACGTTCACCATCGTGCTCTCTCTCAATCACCCTGGACCCTCACCCCATCTCTCTGTCGCAGGCACCAAAGCTCTGGCCACATCTGTCACGTCGACTTGTTCCCCGTTCCGACGGACGCGCGCCCGCGCGGCGCGGGGCTGAAACCCAAGCCTGAGCCCGTAAGACGGCGCAGCACTTCTCCCGCCGAGGCCGTCGACATCTCTCCTTCTAGTCTCACCTCGCTCCGGATATCTCATCCGTACTCGGCCCTCCCGCGCGGTCCCGAGCCATCGACGCCGTCGAGAGCCACGGAACCCCCTCGGTCGGAATCGCCCACGCCTCCGGTCCCTTCCCGATCCCAGCCAACGGCAAGATCCTCGAGTTCGCATGGATCGAGCGCCGAGCCTACCGACCCTGGCGTCCTCGCCCACTTTGATGGATTCCCCATCACGGAGTCGTCCATGTGCACAAAGGCACTCGCCGGAACCACCGTCGCGCAAGCGAGTTCCCTCGAGCATCAGGGGAGAAAGGCGATCATGTTTGTCTTTTCCGTCAGTCTCGTTCGACTCGCTTGGCCGGCGTTCCACCTCCGGGCTGACTCCGAATCCCAGGACTTGGCGGTGAAGATCGAGGGATCGTTCATATTGCGATACCGATTCTTCGACATTTACTCTCCGACGGCACATCCGCCCGGCCTTGTCCCGATTCTCGCAGAGTGCTACGGCGGACGATTCCGAGTCTTCTCGACCAAAGGTTTTCTCAACTCTATCGTATACCGCAGACCGGTCCTTAACTCACGGCCGGTCTTTCGCAGAATTCCCTGGTCTGCCGGCGTCTACCGCACTGACAAAGGTTCGCTATCGTTCGATTGACAAACCAGTACCCGGATCTCTTACGCCGTCCTCAGCACGTATCCGTGTGGGGTGTGCGGACCAACCTTCGTGAGACAGAACGTCGAAGGAAACGAGTGCCCGACGCGTCCGAGGTGCCATCGGTCCCCTCCGCAAGCACGGCCGGGAGCGCGCTGCAGCAGGCGCCGCACGGGCGACGCAGGAAGATCAAGCAGGAGAGCGACGACTCGGAAGGCTACTCGACGGATTGAAGTTCCCCGTTCCGTGCTCCTTCCCCCCTGTATACCCCTTCCGGACGAGCGCGCGTCCTTGACCAGGACTTTTTCGCGTCCGTGTCCCTCCTCGTAACGCTATGGATCGCAGCCTCCTTTTGTCATGGGTTCTGTGTGGTCGTCTCTCTGTACAACATGTGGCAACGGCTTGACCGGCATCGATTCTCTATATCTCCGATTTCGTCCGCTGCCATGGCGCGCTGTCAAACCTTCCGCTCCCCCGGGCCAAACAAATCCCCCCGTTATCACGTTGCTGGCATTTCCATTTTATCCGCCGGGGCCGTGGACGCAGGTACCGCGCTTAGGCATCGCGGTGTTCTTGGGCGCGTAAGGATGGGATCGATATCGTCCATTGACCCACTTCACCGGTGTGGATAGCACAAGCAGAAGGTCAGGCTGTGAGCTCTGCATGCGTCTCTGGCTAACATGGATTGCAGGTCATCGATCACCTACTACGTACGCCCAAGAAATTGCGCTTACTTGCCGTACGTTTGGTCTTGATGCCGACCGCCACCCGCTTTCTGGATGAGAGAACTCGCGCATGTGATCACGCTTATCGAATCAACCGGTTTCATTGGAGCCCTTCAGGCCAACGGAGAACATCGTGACAATGCATAGCGATAGCAACAACAGCGACATCGGCAAGCAATAAGCAGTGATAATAACAACTCTCGATAGCGATGGTGAAATCCGTGAGACCGTTGCGGGACGAGACCGTCCGTCCGCGACTTACTAGATTGCGCCCAGGCATTTCGGGCACTTCAACGCGGGCACCTCGTCGGAAACGAGCGTTCTCGCCATGCAACCCTCCTCGTCCTTCTCCCATGCCCCCTTGCCGAACAGGGCGTCAGGCCAAGCGTCCTCGATCTGCCGGCCCTCCAAGATGCTGAAAACGCGTTCTCGCGCCGCGCGAACGGCGCGCAGATTGCCTGTGACGCCGTACGCGCCGCCGCGAACGATGGGCTGGCCCGCGATCCGAACGAGGGACTTTGGAATCCCGTCCGGTATGTCGTCCTCTGCGGGCGCGTTCCGTTTCGATCCCCTGCGGCGCTTCGCGGTCCGGGGTGCGCCACGGAGAACCCGTTTCGAAAATTCATGCGGCAGGTCGCATTGAGAGTAAGAACCGAGCAGAAGATCTGCCCGGCGCAGCGCCCGTTCTGTCGGGTCCGAGCTTGACTTCCGCTTTCCTCTAGCGATGTCGGCGTTGACGCTCGTGTCAAGGTCACCGCCCTGCGCTCCTCTCAAGCAGGAGCGGTGGAAATAGCGCAGACAGTCCGGACGCGGGCAATAGTGCATCGGATCCGCGTCATCCGGGTTGTACGCTCGGTCGCATATGCATGATACTCTAGGCTTGCACTGAACCATCAGGATATCACGTATTCAGTCTAGAACGCGCGGTGTTCAGGGCCGCATACACGTGCATCAATTCTGCGCTTGAGGTGTTCGTACATCGCACGGTAATAAAAGTCTTCAGGGCCAACGTGAGGAGGGTCCGCGGTTGTTTCGTCATACCATCTCATATCAGCGAGGCCTAGAAGTCACATGAGCCTGACTGCAGGGAGAGTGGGGAGGGGACCACCATCGAAGCATAGAGCGGACACGAAGTTGTAATGATCGCTCTTCAGGCGTTCGAACTTGCCATACGGGTTGGAGTCACTGATGACAGTGACAGTCAGCAGGGGCTCATCACGCAGTCGCGAGCGCATACAAGTTTCTGATCTTCTCAGCGAGGATGTCATTAGCGGACCAGTACCATTGTACAAGAGCCCAGATATCGGGGTCCGAGCGATTACCTTAGGAGCAGCCCATCAGCAAAGTCGTACGTGAACATGGCTGTGAGAGTCCACCGGCCACCTCGTTCACGCACTTCGCGGATCTTCGCAATCCAATACTCGTGAAGTTCCAAAGTGCGCCCGGTGCCATCCGTTGGCGGTAGTATACGTGCGCTGCACACGTCCAGGATTTTAGGGCCATAGGGTACGCAAGGGAAGCTTACCATGCGCCCTTGGCGAAAGTGATTTCACCGTCACCATTCGGGGTGAATCCATGCACTGGACGCATGGTTGCCCACTCCGCCTCGGTCGGCATGCCGTCGGTGGCGACATCCTCGAGAGTCTTGTTCGTCTGCTTGGCAACCTTCTTGCCCTTGCGGTTTCGGGCCATTATGCCACCGTGTATGTATCAGAGGCCAGTGTGGAGGGGCGCAGACGAGCACGGCAAGTAGCGACCGGAGGTTATGAATGGGACTGATAACCGCGTGGGGTGCTTGTTCAATGCTGCCTGATGCTGCACAGCCTGGAAGGTCGCGCGCGTTCCGTCGAGAGCAGTGACGCGCCTACTCGTTTATTGACCCCGCCTTCTTCCACAACCAACATGGCATACGTCTCAGTAGAATCTGACGATGTGCGTTGAAGAACATTGCGGTGGCGCCCAGTCATTGACCTTCTGCTCCAACAGAGGCTCGAAGAAGGGCCGGAAGGACTCCAATTCAAATGTATGCTGGCAGCCTGCATGTCGCGTCCGAAGGCTTAACTGGTCCACCCAGCATACCTTGATCCCAACGCTGGGTCCAATGCGAATGGGTCCCGCTCACCAGGGAGGTCAGGGAGCGGTGAGGAAACTCTGTCACTGCAGGATACAGTCTCACAGTAACGTACGTCCATAGGTTACTTTGAGGATACCCCACGCAAGTCCGGCGGTGGATTCTGGACTGTAGACTATTATCAACAGTACTTCGACGTCGATACCAAGACCGTGAGCGCCCAACCCCTCGTTCAATGTCTTCTTGCTGATCTTCGTCAGGTTCTACAACGCTGTTATACCACCCTTCTGCCGACTTCCTCCTCGTATCGTACCTCCCACCTGTCTCCAGCGCCAGATCTTTATGGGCCATTCTGGACCCTCTCCACGCTGATATTCTGCCTGTTCCTCTCGTCCTCTCTGGCGCACTCAATATCGTCCTACCTTTCGCACCCAGACTCTGCCCACTACGACTATGACTTCCACCTGCTGAGCATCGCGGTATCTCTCGTGTATGCCTATGGTCTCGGAGTACCGGTACTCCTGTGGCTTGCGCTACGCTACCTCGGCGTCGGCGAATGGAGTATGGTTGAAGCCGTCGCTATTTGGGGCTATGGCCAGTTCATATGGATCCCCGTCTCGGTAACGAGAATGATCGATTACGAATACATGACAGGTATTAACGCCTTCATGTAGATCTTATGTGTCATACCTGTCCCAATCTTGCGCTGGGTTCTGGTCGGCGTCGCATTCGGGCTGTCGGGTTACTTCCTGGTTGCGAACGTTTACCCCATCCTTGCTTCCGTGCGTAATACCCGAAATTTCGTGTTCAACCGGTTTTCTGAACCACCATCACAGGCCGAACAAAAGGCGATGCGATTGATCATCATCGTCATCGGTGCCCTTCACGCCGGTTTAGCCCTTACATTCAAAGTTCTGTTTTTCAGTTATTATGTCGTCGGGCAGATCGGCAGCAAGGATCCACTTGGCGATACCCCCGGTGCCGGGGATATAAACGAGGACGCGGGAGGAGCGAGTAACACTACAGCCGCCCTGTTGAAGATGCTGTTCTAGTATGTATCATGACTAGATTACTGTTACACAGCGGCGTTCGGCGGAGTCTCTACCCTTGTCTACCAACGATAATCAAATTTTGAGGCGACGATTATGAGCAAGACTATCCGGTAGAAGCCGCGGCGGATTCGGCGCAATAGACGTTGGCCCTCCCGGATAGATCGGTTTCCCGGGTCCATTACTGGCCTGAGCTTGCGCTTGGGAGACTGGTTCTTGCATGGGAGGGTCCGGTGATATGTATGATGGAGCTCCTGGGTAGAGCGGCTTATTGTCTACGTTCTTAGACCGGGTGCGCTCCTGCTTGTGGGACGAAGGTGCTCGGGCACGGGGCGAATATTCATCGAAATTGGGCCATAATGCCAGATATTCGTGTTCAGGCATCTTGGGAGGTGATAACGAGTATGCAGGCGGATCGAACGAGGGCGAATCAGGCTCGGCAGGTGTTGGTCCTTCAGGGATGTATGTGACCATTCGCAGCGGTATGGGGCTGGAATCAATTCCAAGCGTTTCGACGAGGTCGGCGAAGTCAGCCTGATCTTGGGCGTGATCGAAGTTGTCGGGATCTGGAGCTGCACGCCCGATTTGGACGAACAACATCCGGAATCCGAAATCGAAGAGCCATTGAGGACGTATGCGCACACCGCTCGCGACTATTTCTGGCGGGCTCCCTCCATCAGCCTGTCCGTAGGACGGAAGAGTTTCATCCGCTGGAGCTGGGTCGCCTGTCAATACAAGAGATTGGAGGAGCGCAAGGGATGACTCACTTTGAGCAGCTTCCTGAACCTCGGCTTGTTCCATCTGAACCCTGCATTTGTCGCAGAGAACGCAGGTATCCAGCGTAGCTGCCACAGCGCCGCGAGACATTTCAACGACATCAAGCTTCATCGATGTTGATTGTAGGACTTCGCACGTTTTCCACTGCCGTCTACAGCCAAATCTCAGTTGGAACGATTGACACAGACTATCAGAGAAGTACGTACGCGAAGAAACACGCTGATGACTCGTCGTGGTTCCAGGAAGTGGATCCTTCATGCTTTCCATGAGGGACAGACTTGACCAGGCCAGACGCCATATCGAGACAGGCACGCCGTTTGCGTGTGATAGGGTGGTCATGGTGTATGCAGTCCCAGTTAATCATGAGCTCAGGACGGCCGTCCTTGTACCATACCGCGTGCATGACACTCGGCGCGTGATACCTGACATGGTCAAGGTATTTCCAGTGCCGGCGGAATGCCAGACACCATCTGGCGTATAGACGCAGTAGACTTCTCGCGCTCAATATCTCGAGAGATCGAGGAGCTCGAGCGCTGAAGTCGATGGAGATAATCCACGCTATAGACATAAAGTCTGTCATCCCCTTCTGGACGATTTCCTGAGTGCCACAAATCTACTTACCGAGAGCCGACCAAAAATGAACCTGTATGGACGAGTCTTGTCCCGGCACGACCACCTTGGTTTTTATTTCCACCGTCGGTTGACGCCGTTTCCTTTGGTGGCGTGAGATGTTGGCGGTATATAGAGGGGGGGTAATGATAACATACCAAGCTGGTAAAATAACATGACGGTACAGCCAGTGTAAACGCCAATCTCTCTTGCTCGGCGAGATGTAGACGTCTGGAGCGCAAGTTTGGGCAAGCCATGCCATGATCTGGCCGGTGCATGTATGAGAATGGACCCTTACCGAAGTGAGGGCTCGTTTACTCACCTTGTGGCGATCCCAATCCTCCGCTTCAGATTTCGTGATATAAATCTTTACGGCAGGAGTGGACGGTTGGCTAGCAGATTCGGCGGCGGACATCGTAGGCTTGAGTATGATTGTGCTTTACGGAACCTGCGCCTCTTGAGATGGCAATACTTATATGTTTCCGGCGATGTGGAAAACATATCTGTCGACGTCGGCTTGGTGCTACCAAAACGCAACTGGGAACAAGATGACAACAGGATGCTAAAGAGAACGTCACCATGGCAGACACCTGCACAAGGAGAATAAAAGAATATATCAAGAGGCATCGCGATTGCGAGCTTTTGTGGGTGCTTGATAGCTGAGCGTAAAATGTCGGAGAACATCGCGGAGGTAATGGACGGTATCGCCTTGCTAAAGGAATGGTCCACTGCCGACGGGTACTCTTGTCTACCAATGCAGTTGTTACGACTCGTCAAAGAACGGCCTATTGTCTAGATCACGTTCTGAAGCGCCATAAGCTACCGGCAAGTTCCACGCCGTTTCGGCTGGTTCATCATAGGAGCTCTCCCTCAGTAAGCCACAAAAAGCACTGATCTGCGAGATGTTTGCCGTGATCTACATGTCATTGTCAGCGGTGAACCCGGTACGTCGGGTATTGTGTGCCGCACTTATGCAGAATGCATGCGGGATATCTTCGCGGCCATGCACGATTTTCACGCTTCCATGATGTTCAGCTTCCACAGGCGCGAATGCCCTCAAGATCGTGTCTTTGTTATGGGGGCCGACCCAGTCATCTTTTTCAGCGAGATAAACCCACAGCTTGTCTTTAAAGCTGTCCACAAGCACTATGTCAAGATCCGTGATGGACAGCATTTCCTCGTGCGCCATAGATAAGGACGCGTATACGCAGGAAGAGCTGTGAAGGAAGTTCTGCAAGACAAGCAGCTGGTCATGAGGCCAATCGGAAAACAGAAACGCAAGAACACGTGTGGGAAGCAGTCGAAGTGCTGTCGATAAACGGGAGACAATCGCAGGCAAAGGGGGGTGGAAGAGCATCTAGGAGCGGGCATGAGACACAATAATTGTCATAATCGATCTTGATAAACCCACCGACAGGGAACGCCCGTTGGGTGTCTGAACATGAGTGAGACATGATTGGAAAGGGATTTCGGTCATTGTCACATACATCCTTGATGTGTGTAATGGTGGGGAACAGAAGGAAAGCTCCCGCGACGTCTTCCCCTCTTGATTTCATAACCTAGGAGATAATCAGGATAAGATACATGTAGATAAAATGGAACACAGACCTGCATTGTAATCCATGCGCCCACGCTGTGACCGACGAGAAGGATCTCGCATTTTGCGCCGAAGTGCGAACGTATCGCATCAAAGGCTTCCGTCGCACTTGCTACCTGGGCTGCCAAGCTGATATTGTGTTTAATTGATATCTGTTGATCACTCTCGAATTTGAAGGGCGTATGTCCAAGGTGACCATGAGCCAGTATGGCGAGATGCTTGCCCGAGAACTTCGCGGCATCCCATATCTCCTGCAGAAAGGGCGCGTAGAAGCCGACCAACCCAGGGTTTCCTGTACGCCGTAGGTCGTAAGCTACAGTACCCGGTCTGCTGTCCTCACACAGTTGATGCGAACCAGGAATGAAAAGCAATACAGTTAGGTTCTGGTTGTCGTTCGCGCGCAGGAGGGACGGCCACCACAAAGCATGTGCGGGCCCCAGATCGTCGTGAAAAAATATTGCCTCATGGTACGATGTACCGTTGCGTAGATTACAATGCCGAAGGAAAGGAGGCAAGGACATGAACGACGTTTGGACTAGGGAGAGCCGACGCGAGTTTCTGCCTTCGACGCCACACTACTACCTACTACCTACCTACCTTCACTCTTCTCGTGGCCATCCGTTGCCGACGACTTGGAGTTTCGGAAAATCGCAAGCGCATATCTCAACGTCATTCTCGGGCAACCTCAAATACATGTTGTCATGTACTGCACCTCCAGCTTGCGTCATGCTCATCGAGCTCGACCTCATATACCGCACCTGTACTCGGACCCTACGCAAAACGATTACCGACCTTCAGCTGAACCCCACCGAGTCACCTTCTGTCTCCTAGTATTTCATGTACGCTGACTCACGTCTACTCGTCTAACCAGTTTCTGACGAGCGCTGCAGAATGTCCATGTACGGATCGGCCGGCTCACAGACTGAAGAGCCTCAGAACCCGTCTCTCGACTGCGCCGAGGTCCGGCGCACAATCCTCTCCCCGCGACGTGGCCGAGGCTGGCCAGAAGGTATGAAGTCCTGACCTGATTCATTCTTATTCTCCCCCTCAATGTTCTTGTCCTGCTATAGCTTGTTCCCAGCCCGGAGGACGTGACTTCTTTCAACTCCTCAGCCGAACCCGATGTACCCGTCGGTGATCTGAGCCAGCGTTCTGGGGAGGCTGTCGGGCGCTCTCAGGACTACGATCCCCGTGACCGGGCCCATCGCGAGCGGGAGGTCTCGAATGGCAGGGCAGACCAGCGGTGAAGTCGTGTGGACTAGAGTGAACCCAACTATAAGTAATGTTCCAATACGATGTGCAACCCAAGTGAGCGATGCAATTAATGATCGTATCCCCTCGTCTTCCATATTCATAGGAGTGCATGTTGCGCCATACGAGAACTACCGACACACACGCATCCGGTCACGTTTCGAGGCATCCGAAAGCAGTCTCGGTTCCCCGAGGAACTGACTGAGAGAATGATCCCTCTAATGCAGTCAAATCGTAACGCAGTCGCCTGCGTCCTCACTTAAGGCTGACGATGAAGATAGGGCCGTCGGCGTATTCACATTGATGACCCATACCGCGGTTACCATCGCTCTAAGCACGGGTCTCGTAGGATATGTGTCCTTCCACTACTTGGAACCCAGGCGATTGTCCTTCATTGTCTTTCTATTGATTGGCTTGCCCGTTTCGACATGCATCGCGTTCGCTGGCGTTGCCGTCGTGCCCTTGTCAGTCCGAACGTTCCTGCTGATTCTCGTCGTGCACCTCGCCGTGATCGCGTCTTCCACGGTCGTCTATCGGCTCTCTCCCTTCCATCCTCTGTACCGTTATCCAGGGCCCGTTGTATGCCGGATAACGAGACTTTGGGCTTGGCGGAAGGTCGCCGGCGGGTACCAACATCGATATTACCGCGCACTGCATCAACGTTATGGGCCGATAGTTCGGACAGGTATACCCTCTCAACAACTATTCCACCAACGCTCACACCAAAAATGGTCACCTCCAGGGCCGAATCACCTGCATATATGCGATGCGAAAGCCGTCAACGCACTGTTCAGTGTCAACACCGCCTTCCGTAAGAGCGAAAGTGAGTAACCGCGTTCCATACCATTCGGTCAATCCAGATGGATGTATTGATCACGGCCACGGCCCAGGATACATTGTCGCGAATCCTCCGACGTCCCTCGGCTCCCTCCTTTCGCTCTCTGACCCTCAAGCGCACTCACGACGCAGACGCTTGTGGGAACCTGCGTTCACCGCATCATCTCTGAAGGAATACGAGGGCATGCTAAACAATCGCGTGTCTCAACTTGTCCGAGCTTTGGATAAGCGCAAGGGTGGAAGCGTCAATTTGGCGGACTGGTTGAGCTTCATGGCGTAAGTTTTGATCGCGTTGGGTATAACATGCCAATAACTGTGGTTTGATAGTTTCGACTTCATGGGTGACTTCGCGTAGGAATCCGTTTCTTATCAGTTCGCGCACCTTCTCATGAGCTTGCCAGTTTTGACGGGCTTTTCAACCTCCTGCAAGCTGGCGAGGATAAAGCAAAACTCATGCAGAGTATCGGAGATGGCCTTCGGTGCGTACGGCTTGTCTTTCTCTTGGTCCCCGGACCGGCGTCTCAAACGACAAATGTAGGTTCCAGGAACTACTGGGCACTATTCCCTGGATTCGGGATTTCTACCACCTGTTTGCGCCGTCATCGAGCTCCGCTAAACGGTTCTATAAGGCGGGAGCCGATGTTCTGCAGGCTCGCATGGCTCGTGGGCAGACAACGAAGGGCCTGTTCTACTACATTGTACGTTTCCTATTTGAGGTCATACAAAACCACCCGTCTGACTTCCTCGTCGATAGCTGGGAGAAAATGACGAACGAGCAGGCAGTACGCAATTGCAATTCCCTACGCTGGTCAGCGAAGCGACCCTTGCTGTAGCAGCTGGTGAGGCTCTAATGAGCTTGGTCTCCAAGCAGCGGCAGCTCATCATATGCACAGGGTCAGATACCACAGGAACTGCCTTGAGCAATGCATTTTATTACTTAGTAACGCATCCTGAGGCGTATAGGCGCCTCAGAACGGAGATTGACAGTGTTGCTCCTCGAGAAACCGAAATTCTGGATCCCTCGACGCTTGTCAACTTACCTTATCTGCATGCTGTCATGTAAGTTGCGTCGGAAATTTTTATCGTGAATTGGTACTGATCCCAGGGCTTTCAGTAATGAAACTCTGCGGCTCGCACCTGCCATTCCGAACGGTGTCCAGCGCATCCTTCCTCGCACCGAACAACCGAAGCTCATTGGCGAATAGTACGTCGAATCATTCCGTTGGCCGTTGGCTGACGCAGTTGACTGAAGTCTGCGTCTGCATAGCCTTGTCCCACCAGGCACTTCCGTGCAAGTTTCGACGTATACCAGTGAGCAGGCGCAACACCATACGTGTATCACCAACAATGTTTGCTAACATGACCCGTAGTTCACCGAGACCCGCGTTATGTTGCGCCTCATCCAGAGGAATTTAAGCCGGAGCGTTGGCTCAAGGATAACAAATGGAGCCAAGACAAGGACTTCAGGCTTGTGCGGGAGGTATTCATGCCGTTCAGCGTTGGTGAGCACTTATTTGTGGACTTGTCCGACTTGTGCCTCATGCATTCTCCAGGCCCGACCAACTGTGTCGGCAAATCTCTGGCTATGATGGAACTGCGAACAGTCATAGGCACCCTCGTCCACAAATATAACTTCAGACTGGACGAAGCACGGTGGTCTCAGGCGGAATGGGACAAAGCGAGTCGAGATGGTTTTGCTCTTAGGAAAGGCGCCTTACCTGTCATTGTTGAAGCGACGCTTTGAGATAGCTTCAGTGCTGAGTATATAGCCGGAAGCAAATAACAGGTTGGATTGAGAACAGTGAAAGGGTGAAGTACTCAGGGCATGCAATGCCGACTCGAATTCGTAACCTTTACCAAGCTTGAGGTCTTGGTGGGCATTCCTCCGAATTTGGTTGTTGCAAAACCCTTCATCAAGAGTCACTCCATGGTCAATGCAACCTATTACGGTCGCATTCCTGTAGGCTATAAGCGTCTCGCTGATGCTTCAGCTCAACTTATTAGGTAAGGTTGAGCCGTACTTTGTAGAGTACGCGTGCAATCATCCGACAACCGTACCGGTCGAGCGATGATGACCGGTGTAGGGGGCAGCCCGCGCTGCCGCAATCATTCAACATCATCTGCTGCCAGTTACGATCTCGAGCCCGAATTGCTTGTCATTCCATAGCACCGTTATTCCACATTGATACATTGATTTGTTTGATCCACAACCCAGAGAAATTTTTAAGGAGGGCAGAAGGTGACGGTGTAGTCGGCCGCTTTGCTAGCAGGGCACGACCAAAGGGCAGTTCCGCTGCTCTCGTCGTAGGCGTACCTAGAATCCAGAGAATCGCGTCATTAAATCCGAGGCAGAATCCTGCGAAGCGGGTCCACTTACGCATACGAGTTGGGGCAGTTGCTCTCTGATGGCAGTTTGTATGATTTGTAGGAAAGGGCGCAGGTATTGGTCAGCAAAAGTAGATAACCGCAGACGATGATACCCACTGAAATAGGAGTAGTCTAAGTGCATATAATTTAGTGTTTGTCCGCTACGAACACGCGTGCGGTACTTACAGGCAACACCACTCGAGGGGCACGTCGCAGCCGTGCTGTATTGTCCGCTGCAGCAGTTGGGGCTGTTGGCTATGTGGGCAGAAGGGTGAAAGCGTGAGATGAGGCTGGGCGTTGTTATAAGAAGTTCGGCGCACCTTGGTTGCCGTCGAGGTTGGCGAAGCAAGCGGACTTGCATCCAACGGGGAAGCCAGTAGAGTCAAACGGACCCTGGAGCGGGGCAGGGCCTGAACCATGATGTAAGAAAGTAGTATACGGTGACGGCCTAGTTGAAACTCACAGTTCGGGCCGAGATCAACCGGGCAGTCGGCGACGGGGCATCCCACTGTGTTGTCGATGCGCAGTGGCAGGTTATCTGAGGCAAAATGGTCAATATCGGCGGAAGCAGGATCTTATCACCAGACTCACATCTGTGAACCAATGATTAGCTTAGGGCAATGTTCGCATGCATGAGAGAAACGCACCCGTCCACGAGAGACACGTCGTAATTGTCGTTGGTGCCATCGAAGGTGAACTCAGCTACAGTTGCAGGTGGGACACCGGTGCCTCCGCTCGTGGCGCACTCCAGACCGCCATTGCAGCCTCCGTCAAGGCAGGAGTTGGGACCGGGGTTGGTGCTAAAGTCGCAGTCACGGCGACCCTAGCGACGAGTCAAACACTTTCTCCAGGCAACGATCCGCAACGTACCCAAATGCGACCAGCCTGCCAGTTGTCCGGCACGGTGAAGGTGACATGGGTGTAGGCGTCGGCGACCCACTGGAGACAATGGCTAGGATGAGATAAGAGTGTGGGTAAGTTTTGGTGATGAACGTACTCCGGTAGGGTAGTTGGGCGCCGCATTGTTAGGGACGTTCATGTCCGTGAACATCGCGGGCCTTGACGGCGAATCGTCAATACAACTCTCAGATGAACGGTACATCCAAAATTCACCAGATCTATGTGACGGTGAAACACAATCAATAGGATGTCCTTGACAAGATATCTGGTGCACGTACCGTGAACGGGCAGCCGTTGTACACGGTCATAGTCCTGGCGAACGCGCCAGAAGCGGCGGAGAGAAGGACGGCGGCGGATGTGCTCTTCATGGCTGCGAGGAGTTACGAGCGAGGATGCGTCAGAGCAGGAACGAGCGGGCTGCAGTGCGGTTCGTCCGTGCTTTCATGGCGTCGGTCGCTGGTCCTTTTTATATACCCTTCGTACGGTCCAGACGGTGGCAGCATCGGCGGACTGGGACGTTGCACGCCCGGAGCCAGTTGCTGGACTGAACGCTGCATCTTCACGTGGTCCAGAACGTCGCGCGGTGCGCTCGAACGAATTTGAACATGGACGGTTCCGGACAAATGCCATTTGAGGACGGGCGATGGCCTTTCGCGCGGCGGAGCGGCCATCGATGAAGCGAGGTTGCCCAGTTTGTCGGAGCAGGCACTTGGTCGCGGTCAGACGGACCCGCGCAAGATGCTGCTCGTGATTCGGAGCAGCATGGACAGCAACCATTCCGCAGACGGAAGCAGCCCGGAGAGACAAGGTGCTATACTCGACACACGACCATGACGCCCCAACCTACCACCAAGTGTCCCGTGATGAGGTCAGGCCGTGACCGCCGCCCTTCGCGAGATCACTTTAACCTCTTTTCCTGATGCGCACTGCCCGCCTGGCTTCGACAGAAACCTCACGGGGGTTATCTTAGGATTATCTATCTTTTTTTTATCAAGATACAAAGGGCCTCATCGAGTTCTTTTACGGCCCCGTGCGAGATAGTGGACGGCCAACGGCAGCAATTCGAACGCGATATACCAGGCTAGCCTTACCTCAACTTCGTCTGACTAGTACGCTAGGTCACTCCGTCCACCTCATCGGCTCCAACGGCATGCACACTCATCCTTGTGGCTGCCGCCGTTGACCGAAACAGTCGATGGTCCCCGATCCGTCCAAACATCCCGAACGCGCCGAACGACATGGCAACGATACGGAAATAGGAATCACTACGCCCTCTCTGGGCGCTTCCACATGACAATGGGCATGTGCTCTGCACGTCTTTTGAAATCATAATCCGAGACAAACCGGTACCCAAATCCCCGGGCGCTCAAATACTTTCACTTGCGTATGCGACATCGTGACCACGGCGAACCTTGGAGTCTGAATTCGATATCCAGGCTGATGGACGCACCATGTGCCATGAAGAAGGAACGAGAATCGATGGAAACGGTGGCTGGTAAACATCCGATGACGGAGTGACCGACGTAAGGAGATCAGGAAGCATGATCAGTGCAAGGTTCTTTCCATACGTCCCTGCCAGCGCCGCTGGTCAAATTTCAAGCGACTCAGGACATCGTGACGCCCAAGCGACCGCGGGACGGAAAATCACATTCATCGTCGTTGATCGGAGCATAGCGCGAGACAATAATATTACGGACGGTTCTTCGCAAGATGACATCGCGGCGGCCTCATGGGCAGAAGGTGATAGTGTACGAAGCCTCGAGACTTCCATCGCACTTCCAGAGGGCAGTGCCGCTGCTTTCGTCGTATGCATATCTGGAGAGAAGGGTCGAGATAAGCATCCTTTATCGTCGACCATGCGTGGGCGCTACTCACGCATAGGAGTCGGGGCAGTTGCTCTCTGAAGAACACGGCACAACGGCGCTGAGTACCCGACAATAACCCGATAAGCGAAAGGATGCTTACTGAAATAATCGTAGTCTGTCCAAGTTGCGTTCAATATAGTGGTCTATATGCGGCATTTGGGCTACTCACATTGAACACTGCTGGACGGGCAGGTCGCGGCCGTGCCGTACTGCCCGCTGCAGCAGTTCGGGCTGTTTGCTGCAAGTGCACGGTGGCCATGTTACAGAAGATATCTTGCGACGGGTGACCACTGCGGAAAATCGCTTACCTTGGTCCCCATCGAGGTTGGCAAAGCAGGCAGATTTACAGCCCACCGCTGCTCCAGTAGAGTCGAACGGTCCTGCAATCGCGGAGGGACCTGTCGTGTGGTGATTCGTGTCAGGATTTCCAGGCGGTGTCATGCACACATCGTCACGCACAGTTTGGGGCGAGGTCCACCGGACAACTGGGAACACCACAACCGACGGTGTTGTCAACGCGCATGGGGAGATTGTCTGCAAACGTGAAATGTGACAAGATTGATTTACTGCAAACATATCGAATAATGTCAATATGCACTTACATCTGAAATAATGATGGGGTGACATCAGCGATTATACCTCAGGGAAAATAACCGAAAACCTGACATACCCGTCGACGAGCGAAACGTCGTAGTTATCGTTAGTACCGTCGAAGGTGAACTCGGCAACTGTCGCCGGAGGAACGCCCTGTCCGTGATAGAGAAGTCAGAGGGTTATGTCGATCTTGGAGACGGGGACAGGCCATACAGTGCCTCCAGTGGTAGCGCATTCGAGGCCACCGTTGCAGCCGCCAGTCAAGCAAGAGTTTGGTCCGGGGTCCGTGCTGAAATCGCAGTCCCGGCGACCCTGCACATATAGCGATCAGTATTATAAATAATTATTGACGAGAGTGTATGCACCCAAATACGTCCGGCTTGCCAATTGTCAGGCAAATCGAAGGTAACCTGATAAAACCCATTAACAAACTATTACGGGTTTTGACGGTGGCTTACGCTGTTGCCGCTCGGAGCTTCCCAGCCCGTCGGATAATCGGGCGCTGTATTTCCGGCAATGCTCATATCGGTGAACATAGCAGGCCTTATATGGAGGTCAGCGTTCGCGAGAACTCAGTTGTGACTACGTTACTCACCAGATCTATGAAGAAGCAAGCCAAAAAAACCGCGCACAACTCGGAATGCAGCCAATGCAAGCGATGACGGACGGTCTCACCGTGAACGAGCATTTCTGTAGGAAAATATTAATGAGGTCCATCGAATTCGCACACGGTTGGAATCACTAGCTCGAACGTACGTTTGTAACTGTCATGGTCCTCGCGGCTACGGCGCTAGACGCGAAGCCAAGCAGAGCAGACGAGACGAGCAGCATCATCGTGGAGTCGTTGGCGTAGATGAAGCACGAAAGAACGACCAAGAGGAATCGTAGCGAATATGACACCGTTCTGCTGGCTTTTATAACTCGAATATGACGTAGGTACAAGACGGCCGAAGTTGGTTGCAATTCGATGCACCACGCGATGGCCTCGCCAGCGCCGTACCCCAAAAGCAACTTTCGAAAATCGGTCGTTCGGCAGGGTCATCTGTACGTAGTCCAACGCTGCGCGAGCAGCGCTCCGCGCCAGGCCGACCATAACCCTTGATTGTAGCAGCGGTTAATAATAACGTGGCTTGTCGCTGGATTATCGAAGAAGTGCCGAAACGAGGGTGGCGACGTGGCTCTTCCTGCTGTACGTTCGGACAATCACAAACAGGAGTGCATATTTGGTGCATATGCGTTCATCGCGGCAGTGCGCAATGATGGTCGGCACCCAAGTGATTTCTTCGAAGGTGTGCCCGGCACTTCTTTCCATGCCCTCGCCAGCCGAGGGTGAGTTCGCCAGATCCATCATGGCGGCGGTTGCCAGCTGATTGAGCGTATGACCGCTTGTGAGATGAGGAGTTCTGTTTCCAAGGAGTATTTGCGCTCTGCAAGTCAGTGGAGCAGGTAGAACTTGGGATCCGGATGGTCTGAGAGGCCAAGTTGAGCCGCAGAGATCGTATTCCGAGGCGCTTGGTGACGGTTCCCACCAAGAAGCGACCTCGGCGGGAGCTTGATTTCCGATCCCGCTGAGTCCCGCTCGTCCGTCCGCTTGAAAGTACATACGTGCACGGTGCAGACGGTTTGTTCTCGGCCATCAGCAACGCTATCACCACCGAAATACACATGTCCAAGTTGAAAACATGCTACGCTGACGGTGGCAACCTGACCCGCAGTCTCATCACGGGATGGCACTTCCATCACCTCCGAGTCCGGGATAGCTGGCCATCGTGACCGGGAGGGACTAATAGCATCCCTGGACACCAGCCATCGTGGAAGACACGACTCGATTTCTGAATCGACGCAGTCGCGTGTGCCGGATCAATTCACATGCAAATACGATCGGGGTCCGGGAACGCATAGGCGAAAAGCATAGCGATACAGTACATGGTGCATACAGCATATAAGTACAACAGTTCTAGACACAAACGACAACAGGAAATGTCGGTATAAATCGATATAAAAAGGATAGAAAATACGTAAAACTACAAGGGCCATTATGACCCTGCTTGAGTCTCGAGATTCCGTCCACCCGAGATGCCATTTGTTCGAGCTCCCGTGCGATCGATGCCAGCACAGATGCGATGCTACGTGGTCACGAGCAGGAAGTGAAGCCCCCATCGTCTTGTACGTCCTGCCTGACAGACACTGTCGGCCGTCCATATGGTCCGATGATTCAAACAGGCAGGCCATACGACAGGCGGGGCCGACGCTGGCAATCTTCTGGGCAACCGGAATGGGGTTGTGATGTAGCGGTCACAGAAGGCGCAACGCTACATCTAGGTGAGGTGGTTGGCGAGCTCCCATCTCGGCGACGAGAATACGGAGAGCGACAGCACCGTGCCGAACCAAACACCCGCGAGGATCGTGGACGCGATGCCGCGCGACTTCGACTGCGGGGGCGCCCGAGTCGGCCCCTGTGCAGGGTGAGGACGTGTAGTGATGGGTTCGGACGAAGGGGGGATGGATCTTGGTGGTTTCTGGGCTGGGGCCTCCTCCTTGTAGTAGGCGGTAGCCATGCGTTCCACGTCAGCCACGACATCCTGCAGACGCTCAACCTCCTTCAGCGCTGCCACTCGTCTTGTTTCTTTGACCTCTTCGACGACCAGCTTGGCGGTACCTCGGACCAGCTCCCGAATGTCTGCCGCACGCTCGCGAACCCACCACTGCGCGGGCCACTGCGCGATTACGAGCGCCAGCTCTATAATCGTGGACATCACCTTCTCGGTGTCCGTTATGACCGACTGATGGTACCAGTCCTGGAGCAAAGCGGCGGCGAGGCGCACGGATCTGGCGTCTTGATCAGCGTACACCTTGCAACGACGTAGATACTAGCGTACCCTGCCGTGGTCTCGCGAACGCGGAGTTCCGCAGGAAGACGCGAAAACTGGTCGGACATATCCTGGGAGAATTGCTTGAAGCTCGGCTTCGTGTAGTGGTCCCAGGCGAGCCGCGAGAATAGAGAGCTGTCTTTTTCTGCGGAGTCGACCTTGCCGTCCGGGCGCAGGAAGTAGCTCGGAAGTTTGTCTAGGATCTTGAGTAAAGGCATGGATGCCAAGACAGCATCGCCGGGTATTGTCCCGAAGACAAGCACGTCCTGTGCCTCCGATGCGAACTGCAAATATCGCGTCAGGATCCGTGAAATGACGAGCGGACGGGCCGACTCACTCTGTACCACTTCCAATGATCCTTATGGCGCTCGGACGGAGCACCCTCGCGAAGCAGCGATAACGCAGTCACAGCTCGACCGACCAGGGCTCGGGCGTCGATCACTGCGATATGCACGTCGTGCTTCACATTGTTCTGGTATCGTCTGGCGGCCTCCCAAACCGCCCATGCAAAGCTGAACGACGTCGATATGTACGGTGATGTATTCCTCGTCGTCCAATCGAGGTGCCTGGCTGCGTCTGCGTAGGAGCTGCCCGCAGATGTGGAGGTGGAAGCGATCGACTCGGGAGAGTCGCCCTTCGCACGTACGGGAATAGAGAAGTAATCGTCTTGTTCATCATGGGCGAATTTCTGCCCGACAAAAAAGGGCTCAGTGGGATCGTAGAATGGTGACTGTGCCTTCGGAGTGTATACGCGGAACAGGAACGGGTTGTTCTGTACGAGCTTGTCGAAGGCCAGCTCCGTTCCAAAGCCGTACTGAGGAAGTGAAGTGAAGCTCTCCTGAGCGGAAGAGTCGGACCTAGGAGAGACAGGGATGCCCATGGCGAAAGAAGAATAGGCGAAGAGGTATGCCAACAAGCGCAATGCTGGGGAACGGCATTCTTAAGTGCAGTGTGTTAGTGCCCCTTATCCTGCGGCCTCATGGTTTGCATGCGCATCTGCGGACAATCATAGCACCATCGAGCCTGCGATAGTATAGCCCATGTATAGATGAAGGTGTGAGCCTGGAATCTTATCCACCGCGGAGCATGGTCAACACGTGTAAGCAGCAAGGTCTGCACAGCGTTGAAAACCGGTTTGCAGCGCTATCATTCCGTATCTGCAGCTGCAGGCTTCCAGGTTACGTACCGCGGCGCAGGCGTACGAGTCGTCTGCAAACTTGCTGGAGGCGGAATCGGATTCAGAGGGTTAATCTTGCGTGAAGGCTGGATCGGGGATGACGTTGGGCAGCTTAGCCTCGGAATTCGATCCATCGACGATCTTCCCCTCAAGAACAGCCCAGCACGTTATGATAACACATTTCCAGCGGGTCCGAGGCATCGATGCGGCTGGCGAGTGCAACAGTGTTCGTCATGTACGGCGTCGTCAAAGAGTGTTAAACGTAGTTGCCTCGTTGTGTGTAAGATTCGCACGGCTTTGTGGCCCGCTAATTCGAGGCCCACATGTAGCTGTAAAGCAACCCAACTGAACAGAACCTCGTAGTCATTGCTTTACTATAGCAGTACATATATTATCTCGAACAGGATCCCTAAGACGTCAATGAAGCTTAACATATACATACAGCACGAAAACGAGATCCAAAGGGTCCATAGCTCATGTTACCGCCCTTCGGCGACCGGTATGGGCGTGGAGCGTGAGCTAATAGATCCACCTGGCACAGTGGCAGGCAAGCGCGATGGAGAGTGATGATGTTGAAGGGGCGGTAACAGCGGAGCCGGCGAGCCCGCCCTCACGGATATAGTGTGGTCGCGATCCGCAGTGGGCAATGACGGGCCGTTCGGGTTTCGTGAAGACGTCGGAAGAGGCGGTGAGCCAGGTCGTCCCGGTCCACCCAGACCAGTAATGAACGATATGCCTGGGCCCAAAGGTAACTTGCTGGTGCCGATGGGCGAAGCTGGCCTTCCTTCCTTCATGGACATGTTCGGGCTCGTAACCAAGGCTGCGGACCCGGAGGAGCCCGAAAGAGGTAAAGATGACCTCACGGGCGAGCGTGCACCCGGAAATGAGGACGGGCTCGAGGGCGGGAGCTGATGACTGCTTGGATGTGGGGATAGCATGGAAGACCCCAGGCGCGAGGTGGATTGGGAGGACGCGGAACTATCTCGCCTCGGATGTGGCAATCCCGCCGTGACTTGCAGCGATCCTTGTCCTGTGGTAGACATGGACGAAGACGCTGGTCGACCTGAAGTTCCTTCACGATCATCACGTTCACGGTCTCCGGCATAGACCCCGCGCGGAGAACCCAGCAGCGACCCAGCTGCAGACGGTGGCCCGCTCAGCCGATGGGTACCAGCGAAGACTGGGCGTTCGTCCTGCACGACCGTTGGAAGACGTTCACGCTCGCGAGCGAAGTCAGCGGGGCCTGAATCACGATCATCGAACGCCATATAAGGTGATCGCGCCAAGTGCTTCGTGGTGTTCGGAGAAGAGGTAAGGTTGATCACTTCCGTAGGGGTACCTGTATACGATCTGGTGGAAGCGGCTTGTTCAGGTTCGCGTGTTTGAGAACCGGCAACCAAGCGGTCTCTATCGCGTTCGCGTGCAGGGGGCGGAACGCCGGGCCCGATCGCAGGGCCGGGCTCAGAGATCGACGGCTGAGATGAAGGAGGATGGTGGTGGTGAACATGATGGTGATGATGATGATGATGTGGTCCTACATGTTGGTACTGAGTCGCGTGCACATGCTGGTGCGGATGTGGGTGCTGATGCACCACACCAAGCGAATGGCTTATATGTTGATGCCGAAGCGCCTGGGATTGTGCTTGAGATTGCTGCTGCTGCTGCTGCTGAATCTGGACAAGACGTTCGCGTTCGTCGTGCTCGAGCTCTCGTTGTCGCTCAACCTCTCGCTGTCGTTCCATATCGCGATCCTTTTCCCGTTCGCGGACCTTGGCTTTCTGATTTGCTTGTTGGCGTTCCATCACCTCCTTATCCCGCGATCGTAGTTCTTCGTCGAATTCGGCCCTCGGAGCATCTCTCGGCCACTCATTGAGCGTCGGCGGTTTTCCCCCGGCCCAGCCGTTGGATTTTGCCACGTGGCCATTTGGTAGCGCTGACGAGCCCACTCCATGATCCCGACCGTGAGATGGTGACGATGATCGTCTGAGATGGCCAGGTGGTCCACTCATCGCTCCCGGCCCAAGCGCGTGCCCAAATGGCCCAGGTCCTACATCCTGGTCGAACGCAAGCGGATGCTGCTTCGAAGACCCAGGGATAGGATATGGAGGGTACTGTGTACCCGGAGGTCCGTGCAGCGGAACCAGTGTGTTGAGCAGCGCCTTCTGTCCTCCTATGCCGTGCACGTCGTACGCGCGAGGATCTATCATCCCTGAGGCAGGTCCATAGGAGTCATATGGGTTCGGTGGTACCATGGGCCCCAAAGAATGATTGGGTCCGGCAATAACTCGAGGGTTGTGCAGATGCTGCAAGTGCTGGTGCTCAAATGGCCGCTTATTCTGAGCCAAGAAGTCGAGGTCGGTGGCGACTTCCTCAACTCGTAAACTCGCAAGAGAGGGGAATGTGAAGTCTTCTGGATTTGCACTTTCAAGTGCGGAGAAGGCATGTCTTTTGCTCCTGAAAGACTTGGCGCTGAGTTGTTCGGAGGCAGAGATGAAAGGTGTTTTGCGGAGAATCTCGCGAAGGCTAGGGGCAGGCGGTACTTCGCGAGGCTGATGTGGTATGCGCCGCACTGTATCACGAGGTTCAGGTCAAGGTATCTCTACAAATACGAGGAAACGCACGGGGTTGTGGTCTTTCGAGGGATCGTCGTTCCCTCTCCAGCTTCCTCCTTTTCCGGTTGTTTTCGGCAATCATGTCGGTCTGGAGCTGATCTCTTTGAAACTGTGAATTCCGCTTAGATATGATTCTGCCGGATCGACAGGGAGGATAGCTTGAGCCGCACCTTCCATGTACTCCATACAAGTGCTTCATCAGCTTTACGCTTTCTGGCCACATTGTCGACTTCATAGTCGCGGCGCCGTGAGGCGAGTTCGAGTCTCCGATCACGTCGTTTCAACAACTCGTCGTGAAGATAAAGCATTTCGGGATGATGTCCTGTAGATCGTCTTCAGCGCTCATTCCAACCGCATGACTGCATCAACAACACACCTCCTTTCACCAGGCTTTCCTCCCATGCCAGGGCATGCATCTTTTCCACGTATAGCTGTTCTCGGAGCGTGGCGTATTTGAGCTCTATCACAGCTATCGCATCGAGCGCCTCTGCTCGATGTGCAGGCTGTAAGTCCATTTCAAGATCGAGTTCAGGTTCATCTGCCTCTGCGTCGTCTACGTCTACCTGCTCTTCCTTCTCTTCTTGAGGTTTCGTCTTCACGAGGTCCTTCGCAGAAGTTCGTTCTTCCTCCGAGGGCTTTTCGCGCGGGCTTTTCGATGTAGAAGCGGGGTCTGGACTACCGGAACGTGATGATGAAGGTGTAGAGGTGGTGGATGCGGAGGGAGATTCAGGGTTCGCGACGCCGAGTGTGGGTGCTGAGGCACCAGCCATGATAGATAGTGTAGCGGCCTTTTCTACCACAGGCTGAATGGCAGACGGGGGTGGTGCGGTGAGGTCGACGTCGGCTTCCGCTACGGTAGCGGCTAACACGGCAGCTGCTCGGATCTGGGTTTCCTCTGCAATGTCGGGCTCGTCATCCTCGGACTCGGCTTCAGCGTCCTCTGCATCCGCTTCCTCTTCGGATTCGACATCTTGAGGGTCGGCTGGTGTGCGGATACCGCTTGGCCCTTCATCCTCGACGTCGACGTCACTAGCGTCTTCGTCAGTGAGGTCGGGCGAGCCGGCATCGTCGCGCATGTCCTTGTCATCAATGTCCATGTCGTCATTTGACGCGTCCGAGCTCGCATCGTTGTCGTCTTCGGCAAGGTCGAGCTCATCGTTCACAACCGCGGGGTCGGCCCGGACAACCTCGATCCCGCGCCGACGCGATCCTGGGCGCTCGTCGTGATCCTCTTCCTCTTCTTCCTCCATAGCGGTCGGAGGGCCCGAATGTTCCTCCTCCTCCTCCTCCTCCTCTTCCTCGGCGTTGGGATCCTCGGGTTTCTTGCCTCCCTTGTAGGCCCAGCCCCACGGCTCCGGCGGAACGATATTGCTTCGTTTGCGTCTGACGGTGCGGCGCACAGGCTTACTGCTCGTGCTTCGCCGAGAGTGGCTGTTGTCGCCGTCGTCGCCGTCGTCGTCGGTGAGTTCTGAAAGCTCGCTGTCGGAGCCGACGGGCTCTGAAGCTTGGGCTGTATGGAGGGATGTGCGTTTCGGCGTGGGGGGGTGGGATGGGTCTGGTGAGGGAGGTGCTGAACTGAGTGACCCGAGCGAGCCGACGGTGGACATTGTGCTTGGACGTCCTGACCGTCGTCTGTGGCGTGGACGGACGATACTCAGACTCGTGAGGGGATGCAAACGGCGATGTTATAGTTTTGCACGTGACCACCGGCATCTTGCCTAATTCGCCGTCCAAGGGGCGATGGAATGATGCGCGGGGCAGCGTTGGCAGTCGGAGCGACGACGGTTCGATACTATTGATAATTTCAGGGTACAGACTTGGTACAGACCATAGGATGATCAGCAATTGAAAGCTAGCCAGAGCTCACAACAAATGCTTGGGACGAGGAAGACGTGAACGATTGTTTCAGAGCGAAGTATGTTACGTATGGCTTCTAAGATAATTAGCCACTGTACAGGCAGTACCAGACAGACAAGTATCACTCTTTGATCGAAGTGAGCGCCTGACAAGTGCAGAAGGATGGCCGTCAGCGCCGAAAGCGCAACGACTCCAGACAACGAGAGCGACCGGACATGTGATCTGCGCGCGTAATCGGGCACAGGTTTCTCGCCTCCCGACGCGCGACGCTTTCATTCCTGAGTTCACAACGTCGGTAAAACGAGCTCGTCAACATGGTATCCGCCAATAACTTGAATCTTGACGTCGTTGAGTGCGGACACTTGATCTTAATCCGTTCACCAGTGTTCTTACCGTTTCAAGGCATATCTGTGCGCACATCGCGACCAACGATTTGCTTTCTGTGGCGCTGGTTAGCCGAGCGTTTTTTGCTGGCGTAATCCCCAGGCTGTATCGGACGCTAGCTATGAGACGAAGTCAGGGCAAGAAGTATCCATCGGTGCCGTTCTCCCGAATTGATTAAGCTGTCGCTTCTGACCTTTGAGACGCAGGTACAGACCGCTTTCTCCGCAATCCTCACTCATCCGGAGTATGCTGTTCACGTTCGAACCGTCGGTACGTTTCTGTATCCTTGACCTTGTTCGTTTTTTCACGCCTTCGTAGACATCCGCATCATCCCGGAATACCGTAACAGCATACGTGCCGAATTCATGCGCAATGCTGTCGAAGCTCTTCGCCTCTCTATCAACCTTGCCTCTTTGGTCTGCACCACTAAGGAAGTCACAGCCTTCCTTCTCGCCGTTCCCCGCCCCGATCGCCTTCAAGAGCTGCGAATACAGGCGAATCTCACGCCAGCTCAGGGGGAGGTCCTGCTGCGTATGAGCAACCTGAAGCAATTGACGCTGGAGTTCCCTAGCTGGAATGTCGTAGATATCTTGCCGAGGTGGGCAGCTGCATGCAACGGGAGTCTCACGAGCCTCACGCTATATGTTAGTTAATCTACCCCTACTCCTCAGAAAGACTCTAAACTCACATCACGATTTATGCAGTCAGCGTCTGATCTCGACGAAGACATTCTCGAAACCATCCTTGGTCATCTTCCCCGGCTCACCGGCCTTCATGTGATAAATTGCCCCAAAGTCGATCACATCGCCGTCTTCCGTATGGCCTCCCTCACGCCCCTACTGTCGTCTCTTGCATTCACCACCTGGGAGAGTCCGCGTTCCATGTCTGTTTCAAGCGCCACAGTCACATCCCTCCCGCGCTTGACGCACCTCGCTCTTGACACTCACTGCTCGCTCACACCTTCCACCACCCCCACTCTCTGGGCCGAGATATTCTCGAAGGTGAAAGAGTGGGGATGTTCATTACGAAGCGTGCAGCTGAAGATGAGCCATCAGCTCCAAGTGGGAGAACCGTTCTTGCACGAATTCCTTACGGCGCATGGAGCAACGTTGAAACAACTTGCATTTATCAACTGCGGGGTCACTGCGGAAAGCTTACGGAGTATTTGTATCCATGCGAACACTCTGGAAAAGTTATCCATTGCTGTACCCGTGAAAGACATGGTGAGTAATATCAGCCCTGATAACGATTGTCACTCACACGCCTTAGGCCCCGTTCAAAATGGCGTTGTCCTCATCCAAGACACTGCACACACTCGTAGATTTGGATGATTCTCATCACAGACACGGTCAACGCCCCTCGTTGACCACATATGAGGTTCGGACTCTGATGACCGCCGTTCCCAAACTACGAACGTTTGTGTCCGATAGTCGACGATGGGTGGTACGTTTTTGCGTGATCATGGAGGGCTTCAGGCTGACGATGAATGGTTCAGGGCGAAGATTCTAGAAGTGGTTACATTGATGTTCGGCTAGAACGCCGGCAAACGTCCGGGTTCACCGCCTACTGGTTCATGCCAACGCCGCATTAGCCCCTATCCGAGGACTGCGACCATGGTTATCGTCCGCTCAAATGTCGATCACCGGCTTCTTGCATGGGCCACCGTGGATTTGCCGACATCCTATCTGCAGTGTGAAATAAACAGCCTTCTTGAGAAGCTCTCGAGGACGCAAAGGACTGGTGGGCATCACCAGTGCGGACTCGAACACCGGGAAAGGCAATGAAGTTGCATCCCAGAACCTCACTGTGGCATGCTGGCATCTCATCCGAACATCGTCCATCACCTTGGAAGTCGTGCTGCGGAATACGTCGTGTTAGCTGCATGAGCTTGATGTACGACAGAGGGAAACGTGACTTGAGGAAACTCTAGGAACCAGGTTGAAGGGGAGCGCAGTTCAATGGTCCATGGTCCCACCAGTGATTGAGTATGATGAACCCGTTCAGATGTAGGAGATAGCTCGAGAAGGTTTTACTTGTAATTTGAATATTCAATCCTCCGTTAGTATTGCAGCTTGATTAGCCATACCGGGTGCGTGCGCACTCCTCGCAGGTTTTCTTCATTGAAACTGCCTCCTTGAACTCTCCCTGGGCCTGGAATGAGTACCCGTATTGTCTTTGATGAATCTGCTGCAGGTGGGTAAATCCCCATGATTGTATACCACCGGTGCATATTCATATGCCAAGGCCGCGTTCCGTGGCCGCCGGCTATGACAACCGCACAATCTCCGAAGCGTCCCGGTCGTCTCTTGTTTTCATGCGCGCCGCTCGTTCACGATCTGCCTGCAGCGAGCGACTCATCAACCCGATTGGCAACTTTGCACGCTATCCCATGTTAACCATCACCGGTCGTCCAGAAATGGAACTCGCTTGCCCTCCGCGCTTCGCAAGTTCGGCGGTGTCAAGATCACTGTCTCCACGCATATAAAGGCTCGTTGCAGTACACCACGCTTTCGTCACGAATGCCCGCACATTGGCTCTCGTCCGCCCTGATCTCTTGATCACCGTCGTTTCCATCTTGCCCCAGCACACGAGCTACCACGTAGTCCTCAACGCAAGCACTATGTCCCAAGTCCGCCAAGCGCTGAACACCATCCGAGGTAGCCTGTCTGGCAACGCCCCTCGCACGACGCACTCGTCCTCGGCCGTCCTACCTGCACCGGTGGTCTTCAACGGTCCCAGCGGATCCCGCCCGGTCAGCTCTCCCTCTAATCCGGACTCGGAGCAATACAGCAACACCATGTTCGCGTCGCATTCGCGCCTCATCTTTGACGGGCCAGCTGGCTCGCGCCCGAGAGGCTCAGCCTGAACGCACCGTGGCTGGTATGCAAGTCTTGTTCACGATATCGGTGGAATGCTGAGAGCGCTGTCCAATAGGTCTCTGAGCCAAATTGTTACATAAATCGCTGAGAATCACCAGGCCAGCTGACTGCCGGTACGCTGCACGTTCTCCTTCTTTGCTCATCGTAGCCAAACATGCGCTTGTGTGCTCGCAGGGAGGCTCGCTAAAAACGCGCATAGTCGATGCCCATTCAGTACGCGATCCCGGATACAATCATGGACCGTCCTTCCTCGGCGCTGGCCGTATGCTATACATATCGAAAGAAACGAACGAAGCAGTACATATCACGACGAAGGGTGGTGCTAGACCCTAGCACCCCACACGACATATGTATACACACGCATCATGATCCGTTCCAGGTCCACTCGATGTACATTAGCCTTGCGTTGACATCAGACCGAGCTCTTGCAGCGGTTGGCATCCAATCAGATTCAGAAGATTGGTCCCAGGGGCACAAGTCCGGAAGATTCGGGCCGAAGACCGTGGGAGCCGCTAATTATGGTCATTGGACCTCATTGGACTCGCCATCAACGGAACCGTCGAGTTTGCGGCCGTCGCGTCCTTCTCTACCCGAATCGTACCATGTCATGGAATAACAGTCTATCCGTCCTCATCATCTGAACATAAGTATCGTCCCAGGAGGCACCAACACGCTATCCGTGCCACTGCCTGTTCAACGGACACCATGACCGCGTCTGGTCCGACCTACGCGGACTTCGAGAAAGGCGACTTCGTGTTGAAAGAAAGCTGCAGCTCCAACGAGGCTGCAAGCTACTCGGAGCAGGACAGTCGACGCCTCGTTTGGCGACAGGACGTACGGATCATCCCTCTGGCGTGCGTGGTTTACCTCCTGTGTTATTTGGATGTAAGCTCTTGAAGTCATCAATATTCCGTGGATGCCCACCGAGACCGCTCTCTCTAGCGCTCAAATATCGGGAATGCGAAGGTCGCTGCGGAGGATAAGGGCCATTCTCTGGAGAAAGACCTATCCATATCGACTGGGCAGTACAATGCCGCGTTGATGCTCTTTTTCGTGGCGTATATGATTTTCGAAACACCGAGCAATATTCTGTGAGCTTCTTGTCTACCTGCCACATGCCCTGTTCCTTACAATCTCAGGCTCAAGAAGATCGGGCCTGCTCCTTGGATAGCCTTCATCACCTGTGCATGGGGTATCGTGACGATGTGCTTGGGCGCGGTTCAGGTACGAGTATATGCACAGTAGCGATCGGCATTCCATTGCTAATAGATCTTAGAATTTCGCTGGCCTTGCGGTCGTACGCTTTCTACTCGGAGCGATAGAGGCGGGACTTTTCCCGGGCTTTGTATATTACCTCACCTTCTGGTACCGCCCGGAAGAGCGTAGTGTCCGCGTTGCCTTGATCCTGGCATCTGCGACCTTGGCAGGTTAGTCATGACCCTATCTTCTAAGTTCAGGCTGATGGTCGAATGTAGGGGCTTTTGGGGGTGCCCTTGGAACAGGCATCACATTCATGGACGATGTCTCTGGTATTCATGCCTGGCGATGGATTGTAAATCACCTCCCTATCGTGCGTGAGCTGCCGCTAATGTGCTTCCTCCAGTTCATCCTGGAAGGAATCCCTTCCATCATATGCAGCGTAATCGTATGGTTCTGCCTGCCTAACTACCCGGAAACATCATCATGGTAAATGTTTCCCTGTAATACCTTGGCCGACTGTTGTTGACGGATATCGTACGTCTAGGCTATCCGAGGAAGAGAAAGCATTAGCCGCAGTCAGACTCACAGGCGACAACTCGTCCCATGGTTCACACGAGTTGACCTGGGCAGAGGCCAAAGAGACGCTAACGGACTGGCGGCTTTATGTGCATTATCTCGCGTATATTGGAATATCGGCACCCTTCTCGTCGCTCTCGCTGTTTGCGCCGACAATCGTGGCTGGTCTGGATTATAAGGGAATGTACGCTATTTCTCCTGAACCCGCAGTGGGTGGATGTGAACGCTTCTGACATATTGGTAGTGATGCCAATCTTTTCACGTGGGTACTACTAGCAATTGCGGAATAGGCTTCGTATGCTCACGGACCGCGTCATCGTCAGAGTGCCTCCTTGTGAGTAGCGCAATGTCGCTTTCTCAAAAAGCTACTCTAACGTCTTATCTAGACGCTGTCGCGTGGGTTTTCAGTATGCAACCAATCCCTTTACCAGTCGACGACGCTAACACTCGTCCCTTCAGCTGTCGCCGTTGCATTTGCGGCCGATCGCTGGAATCGCCGAGCTTTGGCGAGCGGAGTGACCTCGCTGATCGCTTCGATATCATTCTTGCTCTTGGCTGCCTTGGATGGTGACCGCTTCAAAGCACGTTACGGGTATGCATAAAATTGGCACAGTCCCGGATGAGGTACTGAGATTATGACGGGGCAGTTTACTGGTTATAGCCACGACCTTCTCCTTCGCGTGTATACCACCTCTACTAGGCTGGCTGTCTTCCAATCTACGAGGCACAACATCAGTGACCCTTGGCGTGCCGCTCAATATCTCGGCCGGGGCGATTGGGCAGATCGTCGGAGTCTGGTGAGTGATTATTCTACGACAATCAATTTTCGTGCACTGACGACGCTTCATTATCCAGGATATACAAGTCCAATGAAAAGCCGGCGTTCAAGACCGGAAATTACACCAATTTGTGCGTGGGTCCAAGCCAACGGGCGATCCGTGCACTGATCCACCGGATCGATAGCGCGTTCCTGCTTATGACTTCCGCGCTATGCGGGGTCTTAACTGTACAATATCGCAGGCGGAATCAGGAAATCATTAGAAATGGTAGTGACCAGAGGCTGTGGGTATTATAGGATGATATGGATGGGTGTGCCCGTCCCCACGAGGGGACGGCAAGTTTATAATACTGGCGATACGTAGCGACATAATGGAGAGGATGGACAGATGGCCCTTGTGCGTATGATTGCATTTGTTTGAGGCAATGCTAGTATGACACAGTGCCCGGAAATTGGGGGTGTACTGAGAGGTTTGCGGTCCGGAGCTTTCAACGTCCTTAATTGGGCCTGCTCAGGCATACATATTCCATGTTCATGAAGCAACCGAAGTGGAGCCAATCCGCAGCTCAATGAAGCGGAGAACGTGACGAGGCAATTGCCTCTATGGTGGCGCCTCCGTTCGTTCGCCCCACCGGTATAGCTGGCGCCGTGCGCCGTGGTTTGACCGGAGGAGGGGGAGGCGCTGCTCGACGCTTCGGTTTCCCGGCAGCTGATGCGTTGAAAGTATTGGACGGTGTCACCGGCTTGTTCGCGGGTGCCGTCGTCGTCGACGAGGCGGAAGCAGTTCTGAATGACCCGCCTTCGATTGCGGGAGGGCTCGAGAATGAGTGTGTGATGATACCATCCACCGCCTTGCCCAGTCCAGGCCCACCTTTGTCATACCCAGCCGCCTTCGCCTGCGTGAGGACGGCTGTTATGCTCGTGCTGGCGCCGTCCACGGTGAGCGCAAAACTGCGAGTGCTGTTCGACTCGAGTATATCCGCTGAATCTGCGCGCTCCCGTCGTTTGGCCAAGAAGGCCGGATCTGCGTGCGCGCTAGCGGTGGCGGCGATGATGGGAAGACTCGATGAGCTACTGTTCTTCGTGTTACTGGACCGGCGGAGGTGTTCTAGTCGATAGGGCATAGGTTTCTCGCGTGAAGACGATTCCGAAGCTTCCTTAACCTTAGCGTTTAAATTCTCCGCGCTACGGCTGCCCTTTAAGCTTCGTTGCCTTCCGAGAGTGGAGGGTCGGCGCGTGTGATGCGCGGGGTTCACGTCGCGCGACAGCGACACGTCAGCGGACAGGGGACTGACAGTGTCTTGTCGAGGTGGTGGCGCGCTGTTTTTCCGAAGACCCTCTTGCACGCACCATTCACCGCTGAGGCAGCGTTCAACGAGGCGCTTCGTGGTGGGGTCGATGTCGCGGATCTCAGGCTTCTCAACAAGCGACTCGAGGGCGCGCACGATTTGAGGCCGTTTGTATGGCATGCTCCGCAGTTGCGTTTTCGTCAGAAGGGGGTGCAGAACACGAAGGAAAGTGTGACGTAACTGTGGTAGCATAATGGTTAGTCGGAGACGACTTTCGTAATCGCACTTTGCTTACAGATTCGCTCTCCTCGTCCAAGTCAACAAGCTCGCGCAGAAAGACATCGACCAAAACGCAGAGGTCGTTGGTATAAAAGAACTCTGACGTTCCCTTGGTAGTAAAGAGGAGGTAGAGCATCTTGAGGACCAAAAGCTGCATGCATCGATCTTCCGCGCTGTGATCTAGGCAGTGGACTAAGTGGCGGTCAAGGATATGTGCGATCTCACAAACCGCTAGCACGGTTCAACATGAAAATCATGCTTTCACCGAATGTTTGACTGGAATTCAGACGGCGCATGAGAACCCGTAAAACACGATTTTGTGAGCCCTGCTCTTCCACGTGCTTGGATTCAGGGGTTTTGCGGCTCGATGGCAGCACAGCGACCATGAATTGTTCATTCAAGGCGACCTGACGCAACGTTGGACATGATATATAGACCAAATATTTTAAGGCTACTCACGATGAGTTTGACGACCGCAAAGTTAAGCGAGTCGTCCTGAAACGTCCTTGTATCTTCGACCAAGTCAAATAACCGATCCAGAAAACCATCGTCAAATATCTCTGCAAGGAGTCGATCATGAGTGTTTGTTATAGTAACAAGCAACGGACTCACTGAGCTCCTGCAAAGACATTTTCTGCACCCTACAAACCTCGTACATCAACCGAACGGAAAGAGATCTCAGTTTCGCCTCGATGGGTACAACGAGACCCTTCGCCCATCCTGAACTGGAGCCGGCCGTGGTGCCAACGTAGGTATCGTCGATGTCGGGGTCCAGGTCGACGAGCACGTAGTCCATGAGCAAGGGGATGATTGGCTGCCACTTCTTGTGAGACCGCAAAAAGTCGGATTTGCGACGACCATGCATAAGGAGGACGTTGTACAGTACGAACTGTCGATGCGGATCGGTGGTCTGGATGGGCATGAAGTTGATTGAGCGACATCGAAACGCGTGAATCACGACTGGATAGTGCGCACCGTCTGACCCTCGTCTAGAAGGATCTCACACATCCGTTCCGAGTGAAATGACATCAGATCCGAGTCCAAGAGGATATCTATCGCATGTTCCAGCTGAAGGGGGCTCTGAAGGTACTGTTCTACAGTATTGAATCAGTTTCTACCTTCCGGTGATTGTCGACAAGGGATGCATACCGTGGTATGATGCACAGAACGTGATGAACCGCTTTAGAGCGTTGTCCAGAACCGAGAGCGTCGAGTCGGACGGAACGTGGATGATGTCCTCCAGCTCTGGGTACCATCTCATCAACTCATGACCTATCAGCTGAAACTATATCGAACTTACCTAGCCAAAACTCCTGAGCATTCTCGAGTATATAGACAATACCGAGGTCATCCGCCATCGTAGCAGTGTCGTATGAGGATGGTAGGCTGTTCGTCGCTAACTCCGTTCGACGTCTTCTCGTTCTCCGCCGTCAGTATCGGCGTCCTGGCAGCATCCACAGATGCAATGCACCTGCTACTGCTGGTTGGTCGGTTCTGTACGCCGGTATCACTGCCGGTGTCACTCGCGGAATCGGACAGCAGCCAACGGGAAAAGGAGTCGAATCCGGCCGTCACGGTCGAGTGTTGCCGAGTGGCTTGAGCCTGAAGAATGCGTCCAAGTATTGCCCGCTGCACTGGCGGTGATTTTGGTCGTCGCGGATGGAAGCTCCTGGCCAGGGGAGATTGTGACGACGAGTCCCAAGACGAATGGAAGGGGGGCTGGCTATGTATAGCGGTGAACTGGATTCTCATCGGTATGAATGCCTGATGAACGCTTCTCATCCTTCGCTTGCATGTAGCGATCTTGGCGGCATCGCTCCGACATCGACTACGTGGTACGTACACCATCATGATATTTTTCCTCCTTCCTGATCTGCTCCGACAACATGAACGATCCCCGTGCCTCTATCGTTTCACCAACGACATCAGACTGTATCTGCAGCACGGCGAAGTGGGGTGGAACTTCTACCATGCACTGCATTTTTGGCGGGGCTCCCCGCGGACATCTTTGACCACTGCGGAGAACTTTTACCACCTGCAGATACACTCTATTGTAGCTAGGTCAACTCCTACTAGATCCACGATCGAATCTAGACAAATTCAAGATATGGCTAAACGCCCACACCGACATCGGGCTCGGTATACGTCGCGCCAAAATATCCCCACATCAACGGTGCATCCAGGTCTTCTCTTAGCTCCGGGCCGGACTTGGTACCCACGACGCCTGCAATTTGATACGCCTGCTTGGTCTGTCAATGCGATGGGCCGGTGAACGTCAGAAAGGAAGAATCGCACGAATGTTGTGTGAAAACTCACAAGACCGAGGGACAACTTGATCGCTGGAGGGCCGGGAAGGTATGACTCCAACTCCTCTTCTGGAAAGTCGGCGGTCGTATCATGAGAGTCGCCTCGACGTTCCCGCCTGATGAGCCTTATGATGTTCCGAGCAGCCACTTCGGCCTGATAGTACGCGCAATGGCCGGCCTTCAAGGCGCCAAACGCGTCCGCGGCGTCCCCAATCGCGAACAAATGCTCATAGGGAATATGTAGCTCGGGATCGTTGACGAACGGGTCTTCGTATGCCTCTTCATCCTCGTACGTGCTATCCGCATCGGGTAGGCAAGAAAGAGTGGGGTCCGCATCCGTGAGGCTGTGATGAGCGTGTTCCGAGCCGTGGACGTGAAGGTCGGAGTCGTCGGTAACACTGTTCCCTTGGGCCGAAACACCAATCTGCATAGACCGGGCGATGCGAATGCACTTCTTGGCCTCGCCCTCCTTGACGATCGCATCGGGCATGAACTCAGCTAACAAACCAGTGTTCGGCGTTTGCCCAGTGCACAGCAGCTTTTGCCAATGAGAATCAGCTTGGCGACAACGACGGCGATGGTGAATTGTCACACACAATCAGTTCAGCACGGAGTTCGCGACCACTCTCGGTACGGACTATCCTATCGTGATCTTGGCCCAATTGAGCGGGCTCTTCAAGAACCCTCAAGTCAAGGCGTTCACCGAGGATAATGTGAACGCCAAGCGATTCGAGGGAAGAGAGAACTTGGGAATGCAAGTCGTAGTCGAACTTGGGCACCAACCTCCGGCGCGAGTGCAACAACGTAACGGGCTTCATCGGATGGTGGGACGCAATGTCGGATGCAAACTCTGGATAGATTTTCAGTTTTTCATATACTGGACCGAACAGAACGCCCGCTCACGGATACCCAACGCCCCTCCACCTACGACGAGCACGCTCCGGGCCGTTTCAACGCGTTTTTGAAGACGGCCAAGCCAGTCAATACCATGGTCGCGATGACCTTTCACCGTGACACGCGTAGTTCCCTCCGCTTCCTTGTCCGCCGCGGCATCACCTGGTACATCGCCCCAAAGATCTATGGGCGCGGGAAGGTGGCTCCCTAGAGCGTACACGAGGTAGTCAAAATGGAGCGTCTTGTCCGATTCCGCAACGCCGTGTTCGGGAAAGGCTCGCGACAGGGTAAGCGAACGATCCGAGATAGAGGTGACATGAGCATGCAGAAAAACGTTTGAGTTAGGCGGAGTGTTGAAGACGTTGTCGAATGGAATGACTGGATTGAGGGTCAGAAAATAACGTCACCGTGATGGTAAGCGCGACTCACAAGCCTTGTGTTCATGTCCGGGAAGGACGCCGAGACGCGGTAGCACGTAAAGATGGTTCGCGTGCGAGTTGCGGTCAATCAGAACAACACGGTACGCTGACTGGAGGCCTTCGTCTGCGAGAGTCTTGGCTAGCGTGCGCGCAGCGCTCACGCCTAAAGGGGCGGTCAGAACGACGAATCTGGTAATGGTGGACGCCAGCATAGGTCTCGTGGCACGTACCTCCGTACGACGCGCCGATGACCGCAATAGTACGCATTACGGGTAGAGAAACATTGGGAGTGAGGTAAAAGAGCATGGGGGGATGCAGGGGTGTACTCTACGGTGCTTATAGACTTTGGGGTGGGCTGATGTAAATTATCTGATAAATATGTACGTCGGGCGTACAGACAGGGGAAGGCACCCTCCGTCAGACGAGTCTTCGTCAAAGCAAGACAAGATGAACACTGGTAATCTTGACGTCGCCGCGGAGCGAGTCGGCTCACGTAGGTTGAGGCGGTTGGGGGGGTTGAGCGCGGCCGAAGCCCATCGGGCGATGTTGGGGCTGGTATAAACTCGCCCCGCCTCGCGCCACATTTGCTTCAGACTTCTCATGCACCGCCACCGACCTTCTCATCTGCTTCTCTGGCTGACCACTTGTTCGTCTTATTTCCGCACGCTGAGTCACTCCCGATGGCGCTAAACGGCAGATCTACAACGACATACAGACGACATAGATGCTGAGCTGGTTATATGCTTCAGTGGGGCTCACGTAATTTATACAGGCCTTGCAATACTTTTCTCCGATTACGGCTTTCGGCTCGACACCCGTGCCCGAACATGGACATGCACCCACAGATCCTGTGCCGCCTTCCCATTTGCCACAAGAGCCACGTATCTTGATGGACGGTCGAGTGCCGGGATCGCTACACACTTGTTTCTAGGATCAGCGCGGGAATCACCTGGGGAAACACTTGATATAGCGACTGAAAGGCGCCACCTGCTCACTGCGTCCCCCATGCCGGCCGGTACTTGCGGAGATGCTGCGTCGAGATCGTACTTGGTTTTGGCGAGTTCAACGCGAAATAAGGTAGACCTCATGCGCGTCCGACCCCATAGCACGCGACACGCGTGACATTAGACGTAATACGAGCGAAAAGTTGATTGTCTCCCGGTCTGAGTAGCTTTCGTTCGAGATGCAACTGGGGTTCTACAATAATGTACTGTGCCGAAGTTTGACTGCTGCTTTCGAAATGCAAGAATAAGATCCTCGGGAGGAGAGATGAAAACAATTGATGGACTGCCCTCAGTGCCAAGCCGTGCAACTTGGAGATTTCTCCTTTCCGCCGCCGTCACAAAACCGGCTCCGCTGCATTGACTATCTGGCATCCATTGAGCTCTGTGGCACGTCGGGGATCACGACTTGACGTTATGCCCTACAAGAAGGGCCGTTTGCGCAAGTGTAACCTCGGCCAGCACGCACAACCTTGTTGCCGCCACGTTGGAGCTATCAGCACGGAGGAGAACAGAAAATGTATTTCGCCAGCAGTATATCCATCTTACCGTACTCAGTATGATGTCTACTAGTTTCCATGCCTCCAGTTACCCAACTGTCTTGCAGCGGCAGCGCGCCTCAATGAGGTTCAGGGATTGGTCACACTGTGTCACAGTCATGCCTCACACTCTCGCGCACCTTCTCTCCTTTCGCAGTTCGCACTCTCGTCAGTAATTGTCAACGGTCCTATCTATGTACAGGAGACATCTATAAAATGCCGGTAACACTTTCGGTGAGAGCTAGTCTAATTGAGAGTTATTTGAATTTTTGCACCTATTACGTCTAATGTCACGCGTGTCGCGTGCTATGGGGTCGGACGCGCATGAGGTCTACCTTACCCGGGTGCCAGGGTAATCTCCCTCGTAGGATCACGCTGCAACTTGAGCCGGAACCCGCACCAGTGAATTGACCACGTGATGACTCCCCGAGGATCTCCAATACTAATCCCATCCAGAACGAGGACTCTCTTTCTCATTGTCCTCCTTTCCCCCGCGATGGAATCATCAGGAAACGACGGCGCACCAGCTGTACCACTTCCCAAACACACCAAGGATACGTCTCTAGGCAGTAGCAAGCCGCCTGTCTGGTCATTGGAGGACAACCCCACCACGGAGGCTGCGCCGCTTCAAGCGAAGTGTGCCAGACACCGCGACGATAGAGGCGGCGTATGCTGTAAGGAGCTCAAAGATGATGACGAGAGGCAACTAGTAGATCCGGATGTTGTGCGTGATGCGTGCGTGCTCGTGTTACCTTTTCCTTTCATGCCATCGCGCTTACAGACGTTCGCGCGTTCAGCGTCATTGGGCTATCGGATGTATGACTTCGTGCTACCACCGATTTCCTCGGCTAACGAGCCATCCTTAGGGACTCACAGTACCATTCGCGCTCACTGCCGGCCTGTCCTCCCTTGGCTCGTCCAAGGTCGTCGTCCTAGGCGGCGTGGCAGAACTCATCGCCGGGGCCATCTCTATGGGCATTGGCGGCTTCCTCGCATCCCAGGCCGAACGCGACCACTACCGCTACCTACACAGACATACTGCAGCGCGCGTCGTTCGGAGCTGCGCGGGCGAGATGGAGCGGGAGGTGCATGCTGTGCTCGGGCCCGTGGGTGTGGATGAAATGCTCAGCAGACAAGTGGCCGAGTGCTTGCGTAGGGTAGAAATGGAATCGAGGACTGGAGAGGGGAGCTCAACGGGCTCCAGCGACGAGGAGACCGGCCTGAGATGGAGTAAAGATGTCGGCTTATCGGCCTTCTTGCTGAAGTTCGGGGAGGGACTGGGTACGTGTAGCAGTCAATCAGAGCGTCAGTTGTTGAATCAACAGCTCAACAGAGGAAGTGACGAATCGCCGGATGTACACATCCGCCTTCACAATCGGGATGGGCTATCTCGTTGGTGGCTTCATTCCTCTTGTCCCCTATTTCTTTGTCAGTCGCGCACATATAGCCCTGCTTTACTCCTCCATCCTTACTGGTACGTTAGGCTTCCGTTGTTTCCTCTACCTGCGTTGGTTTGTTTACTGATCCTATTCACAGGCATTGTCCTCCTCGTTTTTGGCGCTGTCAAGTCTCGCGTGAGTGGTGCAGCGAGCAGTGCGAAGGATTACGTTTGGGGTGCCATCAGCACGTTGCTCGTCGGTGGTGTCGCGGCCGGTGCGGCATATGGCATCGTCGCGGCGCTCGAGGGATGAACACTTACTGCAAATCAGAAGAAACTGCAAGATGTAGCATTTGAGAGGTGGTGTGAGGTGCTAGATGCCAGATGCCGCGTCCCGACGCCGTGGTTTGTTTGACTGTGTGTAGGCTGTGGAGTAGACTGACATTACAGTTTGTGATCCTAGCGCTTTCTTCCTGTTATGACCATGGTTGCGCACCTGTGATGTGGGCGTTTGGTGTTTGTGGTGACGGTATGACAGCTGGAACGGACCCTGCGCAAGCGACGACATCAAAGGTGTCATGGGTTGTACTGCATCGCGATCTATCACGATATAATGTGCATCGCACGGTTGATGAGTGGGCGAGGTCCAGTATCGGTATTGACCCACAACCAACGCGAGTGCGCTCGGGCTCTCTACGCGTACTGACTAACGATTGATCTGGTCAGCCAGAGCGGAGTCCTAATGGAGTCCTGATGAGGACTTTTCGTTGCTATCCGTCCAGAGCTCTGACCTTGACCAGCTCTTGTTGACCCCAGCCTTCTCAATATACTCAGAAGCGGTCTCGTCTCTGCGATGCTGAGCATTGCAGTCGGAATGTATATACGATTGCCCTGCTCGATGTAGGAGGCTGTGCCAGTAGGAGGTGCATCCGCCGGGGGTTGTAAACCGATCAGGTCGCGTCGCGACCATCCTGTGAGACTGAGGGGATGCATCGACGGACTTAGAAAGGCGGGCTTCGCTTTCGACTTTCTCCTCTATTTCGTTTCTTTCGCTGGTGTCGACGGTCCTCTTGCAGCCAGTCTGCTTTCCATTCCTTTCGTACCTCTGCAGGATCTCTGGCAGGTCTCGCGCGCGTATCTCCTAACAGGTTCTCTCCAGCCGGCCTTTGACCTGGATGATGCACTGCATCTCTCGCCATTGAATACGTACAAAGACCAGACGTTCGATGGGGACAATCTGTGTCTCTTCTGCTCCTATCCTGCGATGCGTTGGTCTTACCAGACTTGAAGCGGCAATCATCCTCATTCCACCCGGTCTTGGCACTATCTTCGCCATCCTGCTTGTCGTTATCAAGTGGGGCAAAGGATGGAAGCATTTGTTGCTCGCCGCGGAGGGCGTGCTTTACTTCTTAGTCGCGGGACTTGACTTCATTTCGCACTTTTTATCACCGATTACCAACTCGGCCACCCGATTCAAGGCCTTTGACATTGTCGTCGGTGAGCACATTAATTTGCAGCGTAGACGGCTGCTGATTTGTTGCAGGTGCAACATCGGGCATACCCCTACTCCTCTATATCGCCTTCCTCTTCACCTTCCTCTCCTCCGATGTCATCCCTGATATCCCGAAGCGATTCCAACGCATTGCGAGATACTTACTTCTCGTATTCATACCGACCGTGATATTTCTCAACGAAATCAGTTCATTCATCGGCATTTCATACCGTAAGAACCCGTGAACAGTCCCGTCGTATGATGGCTGACACAGGTTCCATAGGCTCAATACCCTCTCCTGACGCCCCTGCGACAGTGGTGGTAGGATTCAAGAACCAGGCTGCAAACACTGAATGGGCGTTCTTCAGTAGCCTCTCGCTCGCCCTCATTACCGCATATCAAGCTATCTGTTTTATGCTCGCGTTCTTCCGCCTGATGAAGGCATTTATATCTCAAAGGCGGATCGAGACCCGCGGTGAGAGTGATGATGAAAGCATACTGTTCCGTGGCATAGGTTGGATCGCCCTCGGTATCAAATTAGGCGCGATCGAAACTGTCATAGGTTTTGCTCAGGCCGGATTTAGCGAGGCCATCATCCGACGTATCGTCCGTCTGTTGGGCCGGGCGTGCTTAATCATAGGAGTCGTCAAAGGGTCCGTGAATCCTGTGCTAGTTATCGTTGTTGCTGACTCTACCCTAGACTTGACGTTCGGGAAAACTTTCAAATTCTGGACGCCCAGATTCGCTCTGATCTCAAAGGTCGCATTGGCCTGCCTGACCCCCGCACGTTCCAGCATATTGGAGCGGAGCCGAAGATGGAGGAGATTGAGAACGAGAAACATGTTTCGATGGTCATGGACATACAGCGGCGCATGCGGGAATCTGTGTATAATCCTCTCAGCCATGCTTCCACCGTTCGTACAGCACGCACGAGCATGCCGCATTCTCTCCAGACAGGAGATGACATGTCAGATGAGCACCAGCTCCTCAAGAATCTCGGGCCCGGTTATCTGACCATGGCACCTGTCTCGCGGAAACCATCTGCGACGTCCACGGCCAAGACGAATCTTTCCACCTACTCTGTTGCCAGCCGCGTCACAGTTCATTTTGAGATGGGTAAAGCACCTACTCTTGACGTCCGCTTCTCTGCTTTGGACCTCCCCAGCCCATCGGAGTTCACATCGAAAGCCGAATCGAGCCTCAAGTCTCGCCCTCAGTCCGAATGGATCGTCAGCCATTCTCGCGTGCAACGTCCAGTCGTACCGCACATCGGCCACCCATATGCGAACCCGGAACTTTGGTTTGGATCGGGACTCAAGGAGGGCTCGCCAGTCTCCGCAGCCCCTTTCTCCAACCTCGTGCCGTTGCCCGTATCCCAGCCGCCTGCTTTGTTCCGGACCAACACATACGCGGGAGAGAAGGTAACCGACCTGCTCGTCGAACGCCGACGCAGGGCTTTCGGTTCGGGTCAGAGCTTCGGTTCCAATACCTCCGCGGACCTCGAAGATCTCACCAAGCACTTCCCCACTTTACCTCTTCCAGTCGCCCAGCACGAAACGCGCATGCTCGATCCCGAAATGGGACTAGCAGACGTCTCTGTCTCTCGACAGTCCAGCTGGAGCGGTAAGAGCAGGAGAACGATAGCGTCCGGTAGAAGTATAAGGTCAAAGTCCCCTTTCACAAATCCCGCGCCGGTCAAGACTGCGAACAGGACGACGTTCGGGGAGCAGGAAATCGTCATTAACCCGAAGTCCGGTGCCATACCATCTTCAGGCATGGTACAGACCGAGTTTGACATCGCCCCGCCAGCGCAGGCCATGGTCACACCGCCAGCAACTCCTCCGGCATCCAACAACATCAACCTGCCTCGTTTCGATATGCCTCAGCGACCAGCTCCAGTAGGTAGGCAACGACCGTCGGGACCGCGAACACGGAATGGCAGTCAAGACTCGACAAGTTCGGCCGAATATGGTGTGCTGGACGTCCGAGTTCGGCCCCGATTGGCGAGCAGTCCTCGCGGTAGCGTTCGATCGCCTGCGCAAGTGGACAGGGTGAAGAGCTATGGAAATGCGCCTCTTAGGAACACCCCAACGCCCACAAGCACGTCGTTTTCGCGAGACAGTATACCGATTGAGCACATCGAATTCGAGGTGCCGGCACCGCACGGGTCCCTGGTGGGGACCAGCAATTCATACGGAGAAGGACTTCCGCGTTCAGTTGGATCCAGTCTTCAGGGAGGATCGACGTTGACACCACGATGAGTGCAATATTGCATTGAACTATGAGGGGTTTCGGGTTCCTGCTCTTAGTATACGTACCTTAAATCCGCCTTTTCCCTGTTTTTCGACTTTGCCCGTAGTTTAGCCATACGATGGTCATGAACAATGCGTGCACGGACACTGCCCAATTCCCAAGATCTCTGGAAAGTTTTGGACGCAGCGCCCGGCAGAGAGCACGGAGAAAATGTGGGGATAAATACGAATAGTATGAGGTCGTACAACGTGTAGCCGAGCAGAAGCCAATCAATTCTGCGAAAGGTTATTTTAATCCCAAAATTTGCAGCACTATGCAGCTACATACCTCTGGTATCCTGAATACGGTGATTTCCTTCAGGTGCATTCGCATTAAACTCGAGTTCAGGGGCCGGTGATTTCACTCACCTGCTGTTTGAAGTACCGCCGGTTCTCCTCGTCGATTAGAACCAGATTCAGATAATACCTCACGCTGAAGCGCTTGTTGACATCTCGGAACGTCGGCGTCAAGTCAAAACCTCCCAAGAACAGTCGGATGGGTATCGTTTCCCCTTCATGGACCGCATTAGCAAGGTAAGTACCGTAGGCTAGAGTATACGACATACCACGGACAGGAGCGCCATCCATGATCTCGAACTTTGTAATAGTCTCGCTTTCATTGTATTGATTAGGCGGCGCGCCGGTCGTTTCTCGACGGATAATCGACAGCTCCATGTGCTTGATTTTTATTCGCACCAGTAGGAAGTATATCTTCCCGACGATAACGTCTTTGAGGTGGTACCTTCATACTAGACATAAGTGACGACATTATAGTCACAAGAAGTACACACTTTGACTTGTTGTATTCGAACTCGATATGCAGGCAGTCTTCGATGCCAACCTCCATCTTGATCGAGTTGTTACTATCCGGAGGCATGCGGAAAGAGTGCACCCAAATATCCTTTTCCTTCGTCACGTCCGCCATTCTTCGGGCGATCGTAGCTCGTACAAAATATCTGAAAGTGCCATTCAGAGTTTCAACGACGCGTACTGTGAGTGGAATCTGTGGAGATGAGCTGACCGTAGCTTGACGTTAATACCTTGATAACTCTCGTGCTGCTTCTCGACATTCTTGAACATGAAGTCGAAGGTCTGGGCTTGTCGCATCTCTCCAGGTGCCGCTAGTTCTTGAGACAAAGACAGGAACTCGTGATGATGACCCCGGTCATAGAATAGCTCTGAAATATAGATGAACAACAACACCGGACCCTTGAACGCCAGATTGACCTATGCTGCCCACGAATTCAACCTTGATGCCGTCGTGGGCCAATTTCTTGCCATCTCGTAGTCGCACTACGACCTGATAATCCCCATACCATGAAGTTCCGCTAGTGCGTCCAATCCGTGTAACCTAACACTGACCTGACCACTGATAGAGTCTCCGTCATAGTAAACTGGGCACTGAATCGTGCGTTCCTTCTCCAGCTTGACCTCGACCTGTTTCCGTAACTCTTCTCCATCCAGCTTGACTTCGACGTCGATAGGCGTTCCGAAGAAGTAAGCGGCCATGTTGCAGACGGACTGTTCGACCAGCTAACGCCGAACACCAGTAGAGCCAGAACACAGGGCCAAGATACTCGTCGAGGACTAGAGGCGGTTAGACCCAGATGACTGTGGTTATGTGGGAGCCTTTCTTTGGTCGTCCAGTAATGAGACTGTAAGCCTGCGGGGCGCGTGCGTAGTGACCGGTTGACCGCGCACGCATATCAGCGTAGCCCTCGAGTGGCTATACAACGACGAAGGCGCTACATAAAGCGCTTGCGCTTACAGGAAAACCTTGTTGCTCGCAATTCCATCCAGAAAATCGATTGACAAGATACGGTACAAATACGGTCTTCGTCTAAAGGGCTCAAAGTTCGACTTTGATGCGGTGGAACAGCTCTGCCTCCTTCCTCAATTCCTCCGTGTCCTTCAGCGGGGCTGGCCTGCCATCGCTACCGAAGGCCTTCAAACCCTTGTACTCGAAAGGCGCGAGGGGAGGTGGAACACATTCCACAGGCGAGACGCCGTAATCATCATATTTATAGCTGCCGCCGGGCACGTCAGGGGCGCTGAGAAGGATGGCGTTCGACGATTCGACGGACACGTCCCAATCGAAGTAATTGAGGGGTGTCAGGAAGAAGCTAAAGGGAATGGTTCAAAATCAATCTTCCCGTAATATTAACCAACGAAGTCACTCTTACCTGGATGTAGCAGTGTTCGTCCGAGTGTTCGGTGAGTCCTCCGCTTGGGGTAAATGGTGCATGCCGACATTCACCCACGCGACCAGGTCCTCCTGAGTGATGTTATCTCCGTCGAAGAAATTGTGGAAATTGACCATCGGATTTCCTGGGAGATGTAGGTTCCACATCGAACTGCTCATCGGTTCCGTTTCCTTGCGTTTCGATACGGCGAGATTGTACCGCGCCCAGTTGGCGTTCTCTAGCAGACGCTTGGACCCCACAATCGTCTGAGGGGTGAGTGGTCAGTAATGATAGGGAGAAACAGGCAGCGAAGAAGGTGGCTTACGTTATGCACAGGGGAGTATCCGGGATGAATGGCATAACCCCTGGGGGTTCCCCACTGGTTGAGTTCCTCCTTGTTGACGAGCGCGTAGTTCCCTTGGAAGTTGAGAGGGTACTTGAGGAGCGCGTCGTTCTCATCCTGGATATACTCTCGGGATATCCTCTGTTGGATGACAGTCTGGCCCCAATCATCGTCGAACCAGGGCTGTGTGATTTCCTCCCGGTTCGTCGTCGTTTTCAAGAGCGAGTTTTTCTCGCCAGCAACGTCGAGATCGACCTTGAAGTTGATGACGTGATCGTGCAAGGAGCCCATAGTCGTGTCGCGTATCGCGGTGCCGTAGCCTTCCTGCTTGCTTTCCCAGAAGCCGCCTTGGAGATAGCCAGACGCGGATAGCCGGACTTCAATGGTACCGTCGATGTGGAACATGTAATCAAACTGAACAGCGATCGTGAATACTCCGACATTATATCAGTAAACATGGTACTGACCAGATAGTCATAGCTATACATCATCATGCCTCACAGTCAGTTGGTTGTCGGAAAGTACAGAGAATGATACTGACTTTCCGACCGTACTGATGCTCCGCAGTACGAGCACGTAGCCCCTAGCAGCGCCGAACTCGCCCTCGGAGTACCCGGTATGACGCGTAATTGGGCGGCCGGTGTCGTGCTCGAAGATGCAGATGGCACGTTCGCGGACCATCGAGCCGCGAGCGGAGTGCGTAGTTGCGGAAAGGTATACTGCCTCGTACGGGCAATCGTATCCGGGGATCATGTCACGGACGGAGGACCCCATGCCTAAATAGCGAAATGTAAGGCGCGATACAGAGAGGGGTGCAAAACCACGTACCAAAGAAGCGGTCAAGCCATGCCGTGGTAGCTTGCATAGGATCGTTACCCGCTAAATGTTATCGTTGATCCATGATCCGCATGTGAAACCTGTGAGCGAAAGCCCTTACCATACTGCGCAATAGCTTCCTGCGGCGAGAGCTGACATGATGGAACTTCGTAAGCTGCTCGCCTGTGCTGATGGTCCGTCAGAAATCTCACCTCGTAGATAATCCTCTCGCCTCTAAACCTCAGATCCCAGAGACTCATTCCCATATCCCGGTCGAAACCCAGATACATTCCCCAACCCAACCAGCTTACGTAGTGATTCTTACGGTCAATCCTGAACCTCAGTCCGCCGAAGGAAATCTGTCTCGGACCAGGAAGGTGGTCGAGGTCTCTTTGAGCACCGAGACGCTTACGGGTTGACCAATCGATATCTTCGTGCTGGTCTGGTCGTTCAGGGAGCTTTTTCAGCGTGCCGTTGTGGTAGGCAGCCAGGAAGTCCTCGACAGACCCAAAGATTTGATGGTTGTACACGATCTACAGAAATCGTGGGAGATGTACGATAGGAGACATCGCACAGCAGCATACCTTCAGCAACTTCCACTGCTCCGCATCCGTGCCTAGAAGGAAGGTCGATATGCGAACGTCAAAACTTAGAAAGTCTGAACGTACCAGACACATCGACGTATTGGAAGAAGTTCACGGGGTGAAGCCAAGGCCCGGGTACGTTACGCCTGAAAAAAGTCCGCGATAAGAAAACATAGTAGCATTAGACTGAGTAGTTCACCTCCATGATATCCAGAACCGGCGGAACGATCCATCGAATGACCATGGCCCACTGGCACCAGTTACAAGAGTGTCATTCTCAAAGCCAAGTGCGACTCCGCCAAAGAGATCCTAAACGATGCTAAGCCTTCGTAATATGCAAAAATACTTCAAAAACCAACCTGAGTTACCTCCGCCAAAGGAGCGATGATCTTGCGTGCCAACGGCGCAAGTTCACGAGGGTCCAAGAAGCCCCTCGCGTGGTACGGAATGGGGTTGCGATGGTAAATCTCTGTCAACGGTTCGATCTTGGTTTCGCCCGTGCACGGCAGCGGCCCAACCCTGTAATCCTGAATGTACGGCTCCGCAGCGGAACCATGGTGAATAGTGACGCGAGCATAGCGAGCGGGGGCCGTCTTCTCGCTTGGGGCGTTGAGGTACGCTAACGCGTCGGCTTTGGCAGGGCGCAAGGCGTCGATATGAAAGATATAGTTGTCTGAAAGCTGAGCGTTGTGGCTCAGAGTGAGGTTGAGTCCGAGGGAGTCAGACTCGAGCCATCGCGCGATCTCGGTCGTATCGTCTACGGTCAAGGAAGACCACGGATTGGTGGGTGCCGGCGGTTGCGCCGGTGGGGGCAAATTCGAGGGGCATTGACGCAGAGGCTGGTCCTGGACTCCGTTGTGCGAGGAAGCATCGGGGAGCTCTACTTTACTACTGTGGTGAACGTAGAAACCACCGAAGCAAAGCGCGCCAAGCCCGAGCACTGCGAGCCCCAGGTGTCGCTGGAAGGACCGTTGCGGCTTGCGCGTCCGAACAACGTCCGGCTCGCTCTGACCCAGCGGCTCGTACTTCCACCCAGAGTCCATGGCGAGTGTTGCCGGTCTAAACAAGACGGACGCAGAAGCACTCAGATATTTGACGGTGCTGACTGCTGTAGATAAGCTAATCTAAGGTGGTGCCTGCGGCAGAGTCACACCGCAGCAGCGATAGGGAGCTTTGCCACATGTAAGCCCTTCGATAACGCTTCGCATGACGAAGTCTGCAGGCTAGACTGCGGCATTACATCTCCAGTTTTCTGAGAGTGGCGGGATGAGACGTGTGAAGTCCAAGAAGGTATGCGCCAGAGGTGTGCTGGTACTTGCTGGGCTAACAAGTCTACGGCTGGTGTGGCACAAATTTGAAGCCAGGTGGTGGTAGATATACGAACGCGGGCAAAGCGCGGGTCCTAACAGGAACAGTCGGACTTACAGGCCGATCTTATGAAGATGCCAATCCCGAAAGGTGATACCAAGAGGCTCCTGGCCGCGCAATTACAACAAGGCAGCTCATGCGTTCCGCAAGTACCACTCCTATCTCGAACGATGGCTAGGCCAATGATAGGTAGTTTTTTTCAGCCGCGCACTGATATCTCGCATAGCGGAGTTGTACAGGACGATATGGTTGTTCTTCACTATGGCCAATCGTACAAATCCAAGTCCGAACACAGCAAGGATGTCCCAGGTATACATGAGAATCAACGAGAATGTCGTCAATGCACACGTTGCAATACTGTCCCTTTATACCGGCTCAGCCTCCACAAGAGATTGAGCAAGCGACTTAGAAATCGCCCAGATCAACATCTAAACTCTCCACCACGCTCTTCTCAAGATCATTGGTGCCGTCGGAAGCTTGACTCAAAGCACCGGTGAGTACGGATGGCGGAATCGGCTCAAGCTTTGGCGTCGAAGTGCCGTTGCTCCGAGAGTGCAATTGGGCAGGCGTTCCAGGTCTAGGAGAAGCTGTCAGCGCTGCCCGTCCACTGCAAACTGGAGTCCGGTGCGCTGACCTGGAAGGCGACATTGTCCCGGGGGTTCCAGCCCCAGGCGTTCCGGCCCCAGGCGTCCCAAGTCCCAGCTTCCTCTTCAGTCGCTTCTTCTCCGCTTCTGCGATCTCTGCCTTCCTCACCGCTTCCATATTCGCCCTACGGTTCCTCTCGTTGACCCTCGCGAGCTTATCCCTCTCGCTCTCTTTCGCCGCTTCCGGATTACCATTCGCACCGCCATCAACGGCCGGATCCCCCGATTTGGCCTTGGTCGGTGAAGGGTTGGATTGAGCGTTGAGGGCGCTCAACTCGGCTTCTATGCTGGCGCACTCATCCCAGTCTTGGCGATTATACGCTACCGTGCGCGCAGCGTTTAGGCGAGATTTCTCCAGAGCGAGCGAAGTGCCTGAGGTAGGTGCACCCCCACCGATGAGCGCTTGAAGGGCGCGCCGCTTAGCCAGTTCTTTCGCCAGGTCAAGCTGTGAGTGCAAGTCAGCATACGACTTGAAGGCTGATGCGGCAGAACGAGCCTCCGTGACAGGTTGCTCGACGAGCTTCTTCATCTGAGCATGTTTCTTCTCCAGATCCCGCTTCCGGGGCAGCTTTACTCCCTCGGCTTTACAAACTGCGACAAGGCGATCAAATTCTCGCTGTTTGAAGCATCAGCTGGCGTCTGAAGCAACGATAGCAGCCATTAGTTGAGCACGCACATCATTCCAATCAGCATTTGATACTTTGTCCATCGTCCACGTCTTCGTTGATTTGCCGTGTTTCAGCTCAATGGACTGATTGACCGGGACATCGTTCACTCTGTAAGGTTTCACCAGGTCAGCCCCAAGATCTGTCTGACGTTAGTAGAATCCGGCAATGCAAGAGAATGCGGTACACACTCTGCACTTCACATATACGATATATTGGGAGGCCGTTTTCTTGGCCAATGAGATATCGAACCCAGCTGCCTTACAAAGACGTGGGTTAGCCGTCGACCTACAGTATCATGCGATGCCTGCACTCACCTGTGATCCAATCTTCGAACCACGGCGCCATGCAATGCTTCGCGATCATATCCCGCGTAACTCTACATATCGCCAAGTCCAGCCGGGTAAGCTCGTCGTCGTCGTCATCTTCCTTCTTCTTCTTGCTGGGACCATAATCCCGGTAAAACCGGCGACGTCGTTCTTCTGCCTCATCAAGCTTGGTAATTTGGCCGTCTTCGTCATCGGACGAGGACATTTCCATGTCAGTAGGAGAGGCGGAACGGTCTCGCTTAGGGGAACCAGGTTTGGTCTGCGTTACGGTTGTCAGGAAACGGAAGACAGCGCGGAGCTGGAACCAACTGACGCGTTTTTTGTCGTCCTTGGCTCTCCGTTTCGCCTTGAGCTCGTCCAGTTTCCGTGATTTTTCTTTCGTGGCGCCGCGTACAGCATGTTGCCCTGTACCAGATGATTTCTTAGTTTTTCATTATTCTGAGCAATGGACGTAAACATGCGTTTAGCAGCTTTTGAAACGGCATCTTCTGCGGCACCACTCTTCTGCGCCTTCACGAGCGCCTCAAGGCTCCTCTTGTCCTGTATGCGCTGCAGTTCTTCGAGGCGCGACGCAAGAATCTCCTCGCGCTCCATTTCAGTCAATTCAAGCAAGCTTTGCCAATGCATTCAGCGTGAGGCTATGAGCTGCTGGGATGTACATACTGGTCCCGATCCGCCTCATCCTTATATTTTCCCTCGAGCGGATATGGGTTCAATTTGATGTCGTCCTCCTCACTCTCCGGCGCGTCTTCCGAGTCATCAGAGACACTTGTAGCGGTCAGTTCGCCAACTGCAAGTCCAGGTGCTACTGAACGCAGCCCTCACTCTGCCTTGCGCCGTTTGCCCACTTTCAGCCCCGCGTTCTGACGGCGTTTACGCTTCTTCTCTGTGGCGCCTGCAAGTTCCAGTAGCTCATCGGAGAAATCGCCCTCAGAGTCGGACATGGCAGCAAGGTTGGAGAGGACAGCAAGGGCGAACGCGATGGCTGTGCCAAGTCATCGTGCTTCCCCGGCTAGTGGCTGTGAACACTTTTCTGCCGAAGACGATGGTGGTCGGTTGTTCGTGTCTGCGTATTCTCTCGGCGTCGCTCATCATTGTCCGCGCAGAAAATCAACGTCTTGCAACATGATACAGCGGCGCACTTGCCCACACGAAAAGGAGATCCTACGCCAACGTCGCGCAACCTCGATCCGCTCATGCATCCGTTTGCCAGAGCCCGGGAACGCACCAGAGCGCTGAACGCGGCCAAGATGGAGCGAATGTTTTCCAAGCCGTTTGTTGCGGCCCTTGAAGGCCACTTGGACGCAGTGGAAGTCTTGGCTCGAAGACCAGATGAGCTTACCACTGTCGCGAGCGGGAGTTGGGATGGAGGTAGGTTCTACCGTAAAGAATCGATAGCTGGTCCTTTCACTCATGCACCCAGGGGTGATACTACATGACCTATCTTTGAGGACGCACGTGCGCAAATTGAACGGTGCTCACAAGGGCAAAGTGTCAGGCCTCTGCTTCACCGGGGAGGGACGGTTGCTGAGCTGTGGTGTTGACCGGAATATAAAGCTATGGGACACACGGCCCGAAGCAGAAATTGGGTCAGAGGTATGTATTCCATTACGAGTCTTTAGCGATCCTGTCTTGAATACGAAATTACGTAAGGATCAAGCCCCCTTGGCCGTGTTCCCCGGAAAATCTGCAATCAAGTACGCCTCCGTTGATTTTCGTGTTTCTATCTCACTGAATTTTGTTCGTCAGCTCTATAGATCATCATCGTTCGGACCACTTATTCGCCACGGCCTCAAACCTCGTTCAAATCTGGGATGAGACTAAGTGCGTCCCGTGCCTCGCGACATGATTCGCTGCTGATTACCGTTTCAAGGAGCGCGGCCGTTTCAAACCTCACGTTCCCCACTTCCACTGAAACAATAGACGCCGTCAGGTTCAATCTTTCAGAGTCGTCTGTCTTAGCAAGTATAGGTTCTGACCGGACATTCACCCTGTATGACATTCGAACAGGAAAGGCTGAGCGTCGAGTAGTAATGCAGGTCCGGAACGACCAGGTTTCTTCCCTATGTGCGTTAGCTAACTTTCACCCAGATGCGCTCCAACTCCCTCTCCTGGTCTCCCACCTTCCCTACCTCCCTCCTCCTCGCCTCCGAAGATCACAACCTCTATACATTCGACATTCGATCTCTGTCCACGCCCACCCAAATATACAAGGCACACGTTGCAGCGGTCATGTCATGCGACTGGTCGCCTACTGGTGCCGAGTTCGTTTCGGGTGGTTGGGATCGGACCGTGCGGATATGGAAGGAGGGCCAAGGCACGCGACCGGAAGTGTACCACACGAAGCGCATGCAGCGGGTGTCGTCTACGATCTTTACTAACGATGCGCGCTTTGTGTTGAGCGGCTCAGATGATGGCAATGTGCGGATCTGGAAAGCGCGCGCAGACGAAAAGCTTGGCATCATTACCGCGCGCGAACGCGCGGCGATGGAATATCGTGATACTCTCAAGGACCGTTGGAAGTTCGACAAGGGTGTTGGCAAGGTCCAAAGGTGGCTGTTTACATGAAGCATTCTCGTTGTCAATAGACTGATTGCTGTTCGTAGATCTCGTCATCTTCCCAAACCGGTTCACAAGGCGGCGGATCTCAAGAGAACCATGCTCGAGGCTCGTCGCGTCAAAGAGGAAAGGCGGAGAAAGCATACACGCGCGGGCGAAAGCAAACCCATCGCCGAGAGGAAGAAGGTCGTCGTTGCGGAGCAGATGTAGGCGCACGGAACGTAGTAGCAACCGATGTCACCGCGGTTGATATCATTCAACTGGGATGGTGCCATGTATGGGTAAGGCGATCTGGCTTTGCCCATGGAACTAGTATACATCCCGCGGCTGGCCGCAGCCAGAGCCTGAGGCCAGTTTGGTCGGCTATTTGAGTCGGCGCGTCTCGGAGCCGCGCTGCAAAGCACGACGTTATGCTGGTCATCGGCCGATGCGGTGATCCACAATGCAGCGGTGGAGCCACTACTTATCTTGTGCGCAGGCGTTGCGCGGTCTCAGGTGTGGATGTAACGTGGATGGATGTCATGTGTGATGCGTGCAATCATATCTATCTTCCGCTGCCTGAGGCCCGTCACTCGCGATTCATTGGTACATCGCGCTTGAAGATATGTAGAGTATAGAAGATTTAATCAGGTGAGAGATACCCGAGGCGGCGTAGATAAGAGTACACTGACGGGTAGACAAGCCACACTATGAGGATAGAACAACGAGAACTGGGAAAACATAACAACAAGAGCGACTTGAACTGTAGAGCATGATTCGAAAGCACTATGAGCCCCAGAATGGGTTGCTACCAACCACATGATGGGTGATATCAACCATTCACCCACGGTCTGGTCGATATGTGGTTGATTGAGGTGATGTGGGTGATTGCCTTGGATCACTCATGGTATGGTCTATTGTATACAATCACCCACTGTATCCGTAAATACTAATGTCGGCCAAAGTCAATGGGTGATTTTCACCCACTGTACCAGTGGGTCGTGCCAGTGCTGATTGCACAGCAGCGGCAACGCGCGCGGTCAAGCTGCACAGCCCCTCGTCCAACTCTTCTCCCGCCAATTGCAACAGCGCCAGCGAAGACGGTAGACGCAGGGTTCACTCTCGCCATGGCCAAGGGCACGGGCCTTGGTAGAGTCATGCCACTCTCTGAGCCTGCTCAGAGAGTATGGGTCGGGAGATGGGGTGTGCGTCTATAGCGGTCGTGCCCACCGTTGCAAGATGAACCCCCGGACGACCTGGCATGCCAATCCCCCTACAGTCTATGTGTCCTCGCAGCGCTGTGCGCATTTCGGATATGTTTGATATGCTGAGGGCATGGTACGTTCTGAGTTTTCTTCTTACCGTTGTAAACCCAATGCGCTCATACTTTCATCCAGGTGTGCCGTTGCACTTTTTACCTAATCCCGGTCGCCATTCGACCACCGCAGTGGCCTCGTCGCCGCAACTGCCTCCACTCATGTGCCCGCGCCCGTCACAGCGATGACTCCCAAGACGTCTCCACCACCTACAGCAGTGGGCACGCCGTACGGCCATCCTGCGCCCTCGCCTCTCGCTCATGCGTACCACCACGTTCACGACCCCGACCGCGATACCTCGGACGCGGACTCACGTGAGTCCGCTATCTCGTAGAGCATGGCACGCATCTAACGAATGCATCTCGTCGCAGTACGCACATCGTACGGGTTCGGACCCAGCCCCAGCGCGAGCTGCGCCAGCCTGACGTCGCTCACCACATCCGCCTCCTCGCACTACTCTAAATCGCAATCTCCCTTGCATACCCGCTCCTTTGTCGTCAAGAAGCCACTGCCGCCCACACCAACCTCGGCGCCACCGCTCGCCGTGCCCTCCTCGCCTTCGTCAACGTCCCTCGTCTCCGTCTTCCGCATGGCATCTCTCAACTGCTTCCGGCGGAGCAAGTCCAAGGCGAAGGAGAGGCCCAAGAAAGAACCCGCGACACCCGAAGACACGGTTCGCGTCGACTACCCGTACATTGGCGCGCACCTCGATCGCGAGCGCTCGGCCGTGCCGCCCCCGCCCGAGCATGCATACACGCACGGGCTCCCAGACCCGCACTTGCCTTTGCCCCCACACAACGTACGGTGGCAAGTGGCACACAGTCCGTTGGATGTCCGACCCAGGCCAACACCGTTTGCGCACGGACCCCGACGCCGACCCCACGCCCGTCACTCCACCGAGCGAGTTCAGCGCTCGGTTTCAGGCCTGGGGGAAAGCGCGCGCGCACCGTGCTCCAGCGACTCCGGAGCCTCTCAGCCCGCGCCGGGAGATGCCACACTCGCCGCTGGCCACGCTCGCCCTCGAGGAGGAGGACCGTGCGTCCCGGGAGATCTCTCCTGCGCCCGAAGCAGATGCACCGCGGTCATCGACATGCTCGTATTCGGAGAGTGACGAACAACAGACACTGCGCGGACGTCGAGCCCCTCCTTGCGCCTTGTTGCCGCGTCCGCCGAGCGACCTGCCTACGTCCTCCCCTATCATCTACGCGTCCTCACGGCGCTGTGCGGGTCTCGGATTTGTTTGATACCCTGTGGGCTAGGGTACGCCGAGAATTTCCCTCTCACCTTCGTGAAACAAACACGCTAATACTTGACTTCAGCCGTGACATTGCACTTTGCAACCGACCCCGACCGGCATCCGAGGACCGCAGCGGCCGGAGCCTCCAAACACTCCAGTCGTCCTCGAACATACCGCGCCCTCCCCCAAAAAAGCCGTGCACTCACTCTTGAGCACGCCTCGTGCCCACCTCAATCCGTCAACCACGCTCCATCCTTGGCATCCACGTTAACCACGTCCTGCCCATACCCTTGCCGTCAATGCGCTCTGCGGACCGTACCCCTCCCTCGTCGTCAATCGTACCCCACCCTCATCGTCGACCGCGTCATCAATGTTGCCGTTCGACCAACACACTCCAGCCCCTCAAGCAGTGCGCCGGCCACCATCGAAGACGCAGCTAGCGCGCCTCGCGGTGGACCAGCACATGCCGGAAGAAGCGTGTCCTTTTCGTACTGCAAGCACCAAGCGGCAGCGGCCAATTCTCGCTTGCGCACGAGCGCGCGGCGGCGTTCATGCCCGATCCCAGCGCAGGGTGGAAGCTGCTTGAGCAAGAGATGTTTGAGCCACCGCGTTACGCCTGCGGTCGCACGTTTGCCCTGGCCATTTCCTCCCGAGCATCGCAGACAATTGAAGTGTCTTGCGATCCCAGCAAGATGTGCATATATACGATTCCGGGCACTTCTACCCCCGCGCCCGCCATTCGCGCCCGGTGCAGCTTCCATCCCCCGCCCTTGCCGTTTGCGAGCCGCCAATGCGGTCTCGCGCGGCGCCACTTCTACCCCCGCGCCCGCCATTCGCCCAGCACCGGCCAGCGCGCCGCGCGGTCACGAAACGGGTCGGCAGCGCCCTGAGAGGTGTGCCAGCAGCGGGACGCCCGACTTCAACCACCACCGCCAAGACGCGGGACATTCAATTTTCCTCCACCATTGCCGAGACGTGTGCTGTCCTCATGCTGCACGCCGATGCCGATGCCGCCGCCGCCGCCGCCACCAGGGCCAGCAGCGATAGCGCTGACCACCCCGGCCATCAGCATGCCCCAAGAGTGCCGCAACGCGCACGCTCCTCGTGCTGCATGCGCGCCGCCCCGTTCGACTGGGCATCGTTTGCCAATGCGCCGTGCAGTCACGAAACGGGCGGGCAATGCCCCGAGAGGCGTGCCAGCAGCGGGACGCCCAACTTTGACCACTACCACAGAAGACACGCACCTCCCTCGTGCTGCAAGAGCTCGCTGCCCCATTCGACCGGGATTGTATTGTCTTTTGGTTATATATACACGTATCACAAGTGACAATATGTTTTCAAAATTACTCGCCGTCGTCCACGTTCCCATCAGCTTCAACATACAATGCCCGAGCTAGGGTACCGCTCCGATCAATGATAGCCCATTCATTGCTGGTAGGCACAGGGATTCGTCCAACAAGACATTGTATAGCCGTGAGGTCCACCACCTCGAGACGCCCATCCCTTTTGTAATAGTGGATATCAAGTCGAGGGTGTTTCCGAGTAACATCACAAGACCGGATTACAGCGAGTAGCACTGTCTCATCGTCCTTGATCTTGAGAGTCCGAGACTTTGGCAGATGCAGTACGAATATGTGCTTCAGCTGTCCGAAGAACGTATGATCTTGATATTCAGGAACTCGACGACGCTGGTGGGCATATTTGTCCACAAGGAGCTGATACTAGTAGAATAGATCAGTTATTTGAGTACTCGAAAATATATGATGCGCAATGTATCGGGAGACTCACCCGGACATAGGAGGCATCCCTTCGGTCATCTCCAGGTGTGGGGTAGAGATTAGCTGCAGATATTGCGTCGCCATCATTGAGGATCTGTACGCGTCCGTATTCTTCAAGATCATGTGGAACGAACTTTCGTGCTGTCGCAACCGTCACACCATAGCGTGTGGCCAAGGCAAGGATAATCTTGCTGTGCACGTCCGAGGGAATATTGGATGCAGGTCGGCATGGTGGTATGAGTATGCAAGTTGGATCTGTCAATATGAGATCAAGTTACGCTGTTGACCGGACAGAAGGCATATCTACTTACAATTCTCGAAGGAGACAGCACCGCGTGATGTCTTGGGCTTGCATAGGGATAGTTCGTCATGTAGACCATATTTGAGTATGATATGAGATAGTCGTGCATTGTTAAGCACGTATCGGTTGATACTTGCATATGGAAATCGTCGGCTTGTGATGGCAGGTTGGAGAGAACCACAATAGCGTTCCATTGGGAATGCCCATGAGACCCAGACCGGACCAACTGCACGGATACTGTCGGCAATGTGCAAGAGCCCATGGATGGTGATAGGACAAGTGGACAAACGCGAAGGATTGTCCTGATAATAAATCCTGTTTACTACAATATCAGAGGACAGGACATCATGAGAGCATGAAACCAAACTCACCTCTCGTACGTCTGCACCCACGCAATTAGACCAGCCTTGATGGCTTTCAGGTCAGCATCCGAGTGTTCAAATGAAAGGCATAGATCAAGAATGACAACAAGGTCGATAAAGTGGTGATAATACTTTTCTTGCTTGAAGCGGCGGTTCAAAAGAACAGGTCCAATATACAGCGTCCAGAATGACCATGAGTCCGCCGTACATCCTGATTTGTCCTGTGCGATGTTTGGTTGACGTGGTCCATATGCAGATGGTATTGTACTCCCGCATGCAGCCGTAGCTTCTCCAATAGCCTCCCAGACTTTCTTGTCCAGTTGGTAGTCCTCGCGGCCCGTATCAAGGTCCTTGTACTCGCCTGTCCATAAGAGAAGGAGGTTTCTTATGACGTTCTCCCATATAAGGTGCATGAAGTCGTAAGGAAATGATGCCGGAAAGGACAGGGAGGAGAGGCAGCTTAGAAGAGGGACACCTTTGATACCGGTATTCTTCGCCATCTGCTCGCGAACGGCTTCTGTAGAAGCCTCCTCGACTGCCTCTGCCTGGGCAAGGAACTCGTCGTGAGAGCGGAGTGGCAGGTCTTCGGGCTTGTAAACCTTTATTGCATCTGGATCTGTTGTCACATCAGGGTGCCTTGTACGTGCTAGTGGGACATAGTGTGTCGTCGCGCGGGAGCCAGGTACCCGCAGGCCATGGATATGACAGAACCGGCATGGTGACAGTCCGTTGTGACCCTTCATGCGCATGACCATGGATATTGCCGGTATATCACCAAAAACCACAATAAGGTATGCGCGCAGTGGAAAGTAGCTTCCTGACAATGCATCAAATGCATGGACACCGATCTTCAGCCGGAGGAGTCCCTCGACCAGTGGCCATAGGAAAGAGTCGAAGTCGACGGGCTTTTTAGGTCCCGGAATGACCCCGATCGCGATTATGTTCTTGGCGTGAAACCTTTCCTCAGGAGGCAGATTGTAATTGAAGAGGATTAAGGGCCATGCTGTCTTTTTCCGCCGCTTGTGTGGTGCAAACCCATCCGTCGACAATCCCAGTGCGACGTCTCGAGGATCAGAGAAGAATGTGTGATTAAGATTTCGTCCATGGAGGGAGACCGAAGTACGGAGTAGTTGTTGATATAGGTCACCATCAAATATGTCCGTCATTGTACCCGGGATATGTGAGTGATCACGCGCGCGATACTGCATTTTGCGAGCCATGTCCTGACTTTCGAGGTAGGCTTTTAGACGTGGTGTAAGGGGTAGATAAGGAAACTGGGAACGTGGGCGTCCCGTGGCATTGTAGCGTGGTTCTTTACAGTATGGACACTCGCGAAGTGTTGAATGAGGGCCGACGAAGCAGCAGCACGAATTCTTGCAGCAGTCGTACATTACAGGGTCCAATGCGGAAAGAACTGCAGCGCGCGACTGCGTAGTCTTCCATGAGGGTACATCCTGTGTTGGGAACGCATAGGGGAGCTTCGCAAACGTATCGGCTTTCATATGGGTTTGGACTTTGAGGGCGAACAATCGAAGGGTAGCAAGATCTTTGTCATCGAGCTGAGTGCCTGCACGAGAGCGAATCAGCAGTTGCTGAGATATGCAGATAAATGAAGACCCACCTGCTTCACGGGCAATGTTCTCAAAGGCCTCCTTGAGACTCTCGTACGCGGTGATTGGATTGAACTCCTCCTCATCCTCCTGGTCATTATCTTGAGCAAAAGCGAGATCACTACTCCCATTGTCTTCGTGTTTGTCCTCCTCCATGTCCTCCTCATCCTCGTCATCGGTAATGTCCTCTACCCAAGGCTGCCTGCGCCGCCAGGCATTCTCCTGCTCAGTGATCGCAGCCTCAGCCTCAAAAGATGCTTGCGTGCTGCTGACATAGTCCTCTTCCAGTAACTCCATGGGATTTTCGAACGACTGATAGGGCTCCTGCATCTCCACATCCACGACATTGGCTGACGAAGCTCTGGACGAACGGCTAAGAGAGCGCCGAAGAGCATTGACTGCATGGGTGGTAGTTTGTTGTAACGTAGCCCATATGTTCTGAGCACGCGCCATTGGCTGCGGTACATTCCTTGCCCTCCGATGGCGTAGGTCTTCCCGATGACTCACAAGCTTTCCGCATCCACAGCTGCAGAGGTGTTTCGCAGGCCGCGCGGCCTTCGGCTTGCGACCCCCACGACGACCAAGCATCTAATGTGTCTGCGTAGTCGCGGACTGATGCGTCTGAGGTAAGATTCCGGTTTTGCGAACCTGCGGAACATCAGTGAGTGCGACACAACAGCTTTTGGAAAGGTTTGTACCTGCAGCAGGCTTTGGTGTCCAGGAAATAGGTTGCCTTGCGTTGGCGAACCTGCGAGCCGTCGGTGAGTAAGGTGCTGCAACACTCGTGAGGTGTACGTACGTGCGGCTGATATCGGCGCGGTATACGTAAAGGTCCAGCAAGGAGCCTTCGAGTGCCTGGGGAACGGGTTGCGCGTTGGTGGAGGTGCGTATCCGGCAATGCGGGGCGAGCGATAGGGGCTCGTGTGCCTGGGGAATGAGTTGCGCGGTCGGTGGAAGTGCGTATCGGCTGATGCGGCGATGACAATAGGGGCTTGCGTTGGCGAAGCTGTGGGGCATCGGTGAGTAAGGTGCGGCGACGACTCGTGAGGTGTACGTACGTACGTGCGACTAATATCAGCACGGTAAAGGTCCGGAAAGGAGCCTTTGAGTGGCCGGGGAACGGGTTGCACGGTCGCTGGAGGTGCGTATCCGGCAGCAGGGCGGGCAATAGGGGCTTGAGTCGGTGGAGGTCCGGCAAAGAGCCTTCGAGTGCCCGGGGAACAGGTTGCGTGGTCGCTGGAGGTGCGTAACCGGCGGCGGGGCGGGCAATAGGGGCTTGAGTCGGCGGACCTGCAGGGTGTCGGCGGCGTACTAAGTCACGAGTGTACCGGCCGGTTGTTGCGTGAATGGCACGTATGTGCGGCTGAAAGGAGTCTTCGAGTGCCCGGGAAATGGGTTGCGCGGTTGCTGGATGTGCGTATCCGGCGGCGGGGCAGGCAATAGGGGCTTGAGTCGGCGGACCTGCAGGGCATCAGTGAGTAAGGTCCCGCACGACTCGCGAAGGGCATGTACGTGCAGCTGATGTCTTGCAGTGGTGGAAGTTCGTCGAGGATCCGGAGCTCTTAAATGCTCTGGAAACGGGCCCGCTGTTGCTGGAGGTGCGTATCCAATGATGCAGGGCGGGCGATAGGGGCTCGGGCTGGCGGACCTGCAGGGCGTCGGTGGCGTACTAAGTCAGGAGTGTATCAGCCGGTCGTCGATGCTCAACCTAGTGAGCTTCGAAACACAGGACTGAAGTCCTGGCAAGCACCTGCCCTGAGGTGAGATTGTCCAGGAGCCAATGATAAGCTGCAGATTGCACATCAGCCACCAGTTTTTATGTTCCGGGCAGAGGCTCTTATCGTCTTTGACTCTTACCTGCGGTTCATCCTGTCCGCTGTTGTCATGCCTGTCACCGAAGCAGAATTCGACGAAGTCAGGTATGGAAAATTTGATTCCTAAAGTGGAACTACACCTGTTGTTGGCTCATTCCATACAAGCAGCGAGGAGAGTGCTGGAGATGAAGACGACAACGGCCCCAATGCCGACGAGAATGAAGTGAGCTACAAGGAGCTCTATTTACAGGCCAAAGGTGAGTATTGCCTGCTTGATCCAATTTGCTACAACTGTAGCACTGGACAGCATGCGTGGAGAAGGAGAAAGCCCGCCGACTCTTGCTTGAGAAGAGGATGAACAGTGGGGCTGGCCCCACAGGACGCGACAAAGTGACATCTGCGAAGATTCCCCGACCCCAAGGGACTGCCGGAAATAATGGGTATAATCTTCAGATGAGCATGCAGCTTCATAGCGACAACCCTGAACACAACGAATTATACCTTGCTATATGCGTCAGTGATTTGATCCCATTGTTTGTGTCCAATGTTTCCTCACGAAGATGACCAGCGGCGCGTGCGAGATCTGGCCGTTGCTGCTCAGCTCGATTGGCGCGTACCGTTCCGGCGCCAACCAAAGGATGATCTTGCGAAGATCTACCGGCTTGTCAGTGTCAATGCGGCATCAAATTGGTTGTGGTGACCCGATTGCTTACCTCCGATCTTTAGGCAATGGAATCATTTGAGTACCTGAAGGAATTCGATGGATGCTGGCCCGTCGATGAAATCATAGCGCAGCATTTTCGAAACAAAAGAAAGTATAATTCGCTGAAGGGTCGCTTCGACAATCCCCGTAGCAAGAGGCTGAGGGCCCGGTAAGCTTCCCATCAGCCAACCAACCACCATCACTAACTCAAACTCTATGCGGCAGCGAGCGCGAGTCAACTAGAACTGCCGGAAACAACGAGGACCGCGAGAATCTTGCACCGACCGATCGCGAACCATCGCGCCCGCGCCCTTCCTCGTCTACTACAACCGCAGTTCAACAGCGCCCGAAGGCACGTCCGACTTCGTCAAAGCGTCAGAAGACGCAGTCCACGGCTACCTTACGGCTCGAGAACGCTGAAGAGCCATCTGGGGCTGCCCCGCGGCGCAAGCGAACGGCGCCAGCGACGACCAGAGCCGTAGACAACGCGGGACATTCAAGCGTGGGTGAATAGTTTTGATGTAGCACCAAGTCTGTAGCCTCTGTGCCCTTAA